GAATAACACAAAACACTTATAAAAACACCACAAAACTACGAACTAGCTAATCAAAAGAGAATAAACACCAATAAAACACTCGAAAACTACCTATTACACGTCAAAGCCCTAAAACGTGCTTTTCAATAACACTATTTGACAATTTTCTAGATGGTAGTCTGGAAGAACACATAGGTTACTCACTTTTGTTTTTTTTTTTTTTAATTCCACGTGGACGGAGTCGGGGGCGAAAACTAGTTTACTTATAAAGTTTAAAGTAAAATTTTTGACTTTGTTGCCTATACTAATATTATAAAGAAGAAAGATTTGTGTGTTCGTATTTTTATTTGTATTGAAATAACTCAAAAACTACTGGGTTGATTTAGAAAATTGTTATTAATACTCTATGATCACCAACATCAAGAAACACCAAGTATTATTATTTATGTCTTTATAGCATCAAAAAGTTCATTTTATTGAAGGAACATATGCAATCACATCTATATATTATTTACAAAGGGCCAGTTGTAGAAACTCTAATATTGCTGATTTAATAAAAACTTATTGAGAAAGAATACTGTATATAATAAAACTAACTGTTCCAGTGCGGCTTCATCCACATGAAATTATAAAATTTTATTTTATTCTTTACATTTGTCAAATTACCAATAGCAAATGTCGACATGACATGACAAACCATGGCAATCTTACTGCCTTGATGTTGGCAACAACTTATGGTCTCTTTCCCGCTTTAGGGTTTTTATCCAAAATATTTACCCCCTAAGTTTAATAGTGTGAAAATATATAGCCTAAAGCATGTTGTAAGTGGAGGGCTTATTGTTAAAAAAAGGAATTATTCAAAAATATGCTGCAATTGCCGACATCTTGGGCAACAAAGAGTGTGTTTACGTTACATTATAATACTATAGACTATAGAGATCTTATGAATATATGAATTGGTAACAATTTTTGTACATGCAAAGTGTGAAACCATCGCAATAGAATTAAAAGTAAGATTGTATTGTATGCATGCAGAATCTTACCATTTGAATATGTTAAGGTAATATCTTATCTTAACATATGTAGTTCTTTAAATATCTCATGTGCATTCATACAATGATATGGAATAATAAATAATAAAATGCAGCTTTTAAATATTTGTACTAAAAAAGTTAACTCGGCAAATGTCTAATAGGTTTTTTCTCTCTAATTTTTCACACTGCTACCTATTTGGTTACTTGTAAGAGGTAGAATTTGTCTAGTCGCAAGGAAAAATGTCATTTTTGCTGAGAGGGAACACTGCAAATTAGCCTGATTGTTCATAAAGAAGAGTATTAGGAATTTAGATGCTCCTACTAAGTTCAAGCTCTCAAACCTAAGGAGTATATGAGCATTTAGGCTTGTTGATTTATAATTTGTTAGTGGTAGTTACTTCCTGTACTATGTGTTGTATGTGATAGAGTGAATAAACATATGTACTTAGTACTTAGCATTTGTCAATCTTTTGACACAAATGACCTTGACAAATGGAATTCTCCATACCTCCAGTTCATCATCGGAAATTCCAACGTTACAGTCGGTTGTCTCTTCGCTTCTACTGTTGTACGCCGCTGTCACAGACATCAGGAGAGTCCTGCGTGGTTTGAAAAATGTCTGCCTAAAATACTGAAACACTTCCCGCACTGTGCGCTCCCTTCGACAGCGCCGCACCATATAACTGAATCTATAACCACGAGTCCATGCATTCCAAAGCCTTTTGACACCAATATCTTTGAATAGAATCGATCTAAACGAAGACATCCCGGTTGGTTATCTTCCGGTTTATGATTCGTTTAATGTGTTTATGCGTGTTGGTTGTCTCAAGTCCTATATATGTCCATTTTACATTATGTTTGTTTATTTTATTAGTAGAAAATTACAGCAAATCCGAGATTCTGTGTAGTTGCGAAATTATAACCTCTTTTTCTTAAACTGATAAGAAAACTTCTCAATGTATATTTGACAGTGCGACATAATGTTGTCATGCCAAATTATGTAATCACTAATTATTATCTCGTTCAATTCAGATAACACGAAAATAAGGGGTTACATAACATTCCCTACCATGCATCTAAATGATTCATACCTTATTTATCGCTTTACTAACTTTATAATGAAATGAAACACGTAGGTAGATGTAATTAACAGGGACAAAAGCTTATTTATAAAAGACAAATGAGAGTGAAGTATTTTAAAAGTAAAAATGTATACTTGCTTTTGATGAATGTGTGTTTTAAAGTTATGAGTTTTAGGCTTGTGTAATATTTCATTTTTTGCTTAAACTGTAGTGTAGCTGTAAGCACTGCCAACAAATTTTTAGTGTAGTAACACTTGGTTTAATTTTTTTCTTTCATTTCCCCGATCGGCGACGAGTGGAGGCGTCCGTTCGATCGCTTGATTCCGTTCACGTCATCTTTTATCCACTAATGTCTGATTTTTGTATCCCACATGCTTAGGGTTAACCGAATAAAGAAAAAATCCAAGAATCCCCGCACCAGAAGAAAAGTACGAGTATCGAAAGGCGTAAATGTAAACTAGAAAGTGTGAGCGAAGTTGCGAGGTGTCTCGTCCGTCCGGTTCGATCTGGATTTGAGCAGTTTGAACCGCGAGTTGAAGTCCCTTTCCCTCGAATTCCTTTATTATTAAAGTTTAGTGGTGTATTTTACAGACTTTTACGTTTATTTATCCGTTATTCGGAGTGTTTTATTGGTGTATTAGTTAATTTAACCCGATCCAAAATGTCCGAAGAATCGTCAGCGGATCGTAATGTCGAGATTTGGAAGATCAAGAAACTCATCAAGAGTTTGGAGATGGCAAGAGGGTGAGTTATGAATGTAGTAATACATTCTTGGTTATAGATTGACGCTATGCAGTAACAACGTGGTCATTATACTATGCTATGTTTGTGGCTATTTCATTGGATAAAATTGCCAACACGGCTGCGTCACTTGCACGAGTGGACGATACCATGCGCGTTTTGCATGCGCAGATATAACCTTTTGGACACGCAAAGGGTGCTGGAATGCGCATAAATGGCTCATAATACCACGATCGACCAAATTATGTACAAAAGTATGTTAGTTACAAAAGTAGGTAACAGCACAGTCGTCTGTTTGAACTGAGAAAAAAAATGCAAAATTTTCCAGCTGATTTGAACGATTTTGGAATTACGCGCCCTTTCATAGTAGCTTTTGAAAATCGGATGCATTCGCGCAATGCGGCGCTTTCAGCATACTTCACATTACCACGAAGTTTTTTTTTTTTCGATTCATAGTTTTATTAGTAACCAGTAGTTATAATTATATATGAGTTGGCATGAGTCAGTAATATTTACATGTATGGATATAACATTGCTTAAAACAAACACTTTATTCAAGTGTCTTTGTTTCCAATTAGCACACAAAAACAAACATGACTTGGCTGAAAATATAACAAGCCTTTGTCTTGTTTTGAGATGAAAAAAAAGAATGTAAGGAAAAAAACTGTAGACAGTTGTACTTGGAAGTGAGAATCCAAGGACCATTCTTTCTAAAGAGTTTCTAATCTGAATTACTTGCTTATGAATGTTCTATTGGAATGGACAATGACTTGCTTATAGAGGCTCCTAAGTTATTAAGGTTGAACTGTACTTGCTCTAGTTATATTTTAATTTTGCTTCTTTATTAGATTTATACAATCTCTGCTTTTGTTATTATGTATTTTATGACCTCCGTATAGTCTTAAGTATGATTGACATGCCCTATGTACTATAACTGCAGTTATGTACAGTATACATAGATTATAAACTGGTAGAGCTGGCAATATCTCTTACATTAATGGCCGCCTTACAGCAGCAGTTCTATGTTTTGTCTTATGACCATGTGTGTGTGAGAGACCCAATTATAAGGAATATTCTGAATTTCTAACATATCTGATAAAATAATCTTTTGAGAAACAAATTTGTGTTGCAACAGATATTTACCATTTTTAGAATTATGTTGTTCGGTTTCAGTAGAATGAAGATTTTACTAAAATTTTGTTGTTTTTAACTCTTAAATGCATATTGTTACCAAAAGTCTACAAACAAAAGTATAGTTTTTATTGAAACCACGATTTTTTTAATTACTTTTCCCTTAATCTGTGACTCAAAACCTATACTGAAATATTTATTTTATAATTAAATAAAAAACATTTTAGGGTTAACACATTCCATGTTAATATTTTATTTCCATGTAAAAATTATTTTGAATTTGTTATATTAATTCTAATATAATACAAAGTATTTTCTTCATTAATTCTTATAAAAATATTTACAGCAATGGTACATCCATGATATCTCTGATCATACCACCGAAGGATCAAATCTCTCGAGTATCCAAGATGTTGGCTGATGAATTTGGTACGGCCTCTAATATCAAGTCCCGAGTGAACAGGCTATCGGTGCTGGGAGCAATCACATCTGTACAGCATCGACTTAAACTTTATACTAAAGGTGAGTGACTGATATACCAAACCCCACTAAATAAAGTGACTTTCGATTAGTGATGTCGCTTGTAGAATCGAGAAACTGTGTCAAAATGTATAGAAATGAATACATGACAAGCATGTGACTTATCAAATTTAAATTTTTGACTTTTCGATCACCGATAGTTACAATAGAATGTTACTTTGTCTAAAGGGGTAGAATAGATTTTTTTTTTTATAATATAAGGCAGCAAACGAGCAAGCGGTCAGCTGAATCCACCGAAATGGAAAACGACCGCTGCCCATAAACATCCGCAATTGCAGATGCGTTGCCTACCCTTAATTGACGGAGGAGGAGACGCACATAAAAAAGACATTTCCCCTTCCTATGTGTCTCCGCCGTCAAATCCATTTTTCCTTCCCATCCTTTCCTCTTAAGAAAAGGGTGGAAAGGGAAAGGGACTAGAACTAGGCCTCCGGCACACAACACTCATCAGACGAAACGCGGAATTGCTTTCACTTCACGCCTGTTTTCTGTGTGGTCGTGGTATTACACCGGGCGAGCCAGCCCATGCGTGCGAAGATGTTAAAGCGGGCTCTACCACTGTTGATAAACTAGAAGCTTAAACTTAGAAATTCCAATCTTTCTATTAACTACCTTAGTTTTACAAAATCAAGGGTAAGGGGAAGGTATTAGAGGTGACGATTTAGGAAGGGAAAATGTCTTTTTTCTTTATGTCCCCTCCTCAGTTAAAGATCATATAAATGTGGGTGTCTACAAGCAGCGGTAGCTTCCCTATTTTAGCGAATCCCAGTGGCTGCTTGCTCATTTACCACCATTTAAAAAAACAACTGTTTGATACAATAAACTGTTCACTAAAAATGTGTGTAGTTGTAAAGTTTATATAAGTGAACTAGTTGTTAATCGCGACTTCGTCTGTGTAAAATTTAAAATACATCCTGTTTCTTAGCAATTTTTTAAATCGGCCCAGTACTTTTTGAGTAATATACAAAAATAAATATCTTTCCTCTTTATAATATTAGTATAGATGTCATGAAAGAAAATGTAAATAAAACCCTTTGAAAAGCAATGCCAAATCCCAAATGCAAAGAATAAGAGATACAAGCTGGTATATAGAAATAAGATACATGTAATTTTAGATTTAGACACACTGTAAACTTTTTTTGAAAATAAAAACGCCCTCATCCCAGATACCTGAGAAATATACGTCAGGGGAGCGATGAGAGCAGTAGAAGCCACTAATAAAAAAACCCTTTATTTTCAGTGCCACCAAATGGTTTAGTTATCTATTGTGGTACTATTGTGACTGAAGAGGGTAAAGAAAAGAAAGTCAACATTGATTTTGAGCCATTCAAGCCTATTAACACTTCCTTATACTTGTGTGACAATAAATTCCATACTGAAGCGCTCACCGCATTACTGGCTGATGATAACAAGTTTGGTTTCATCGTGATGGATGGTAATGGTGCACTGTTTGGTACATTGCAAGGAAATACTAGAGAGGTGAGTTATGAATAGAAAGTCAATTATGGAGAAATTATCACTAAAAATATCCTACTGTTAACAATATTTAACAATGTTATTTTTTAATTAGCTATTGCTCTTTGCCCATGTGAAATTAAAAAATTATAAATGTTATAATCTATGATACTGATAATGTAGCTTTTTAATGGTGAAAGTGAAATTGGCCCAGTGGTTTTTGAGTGTTTTCAATACATACAAAAATATGAATCTTTCCTTTTTATACTAAATAAGATAATGAGTAAAATGATGCCATATTTCAATAAGAAATGTTGAACTGATCCATAATTGTTGAGTAAACACGAAAAACAATATTTTTAATGAGAACCATATTTCTGGGATCAAAAGTAGCCTGTATCTTCTATGTCTATACTAAATTTCATAAGATATAATGCAAACTTACATCCATCCAAACTTTCGTATTTATACCAACATTTCTCTTTCCAGGTTCTCCATAAGTTTACTGTGGATTTGCCAAAGAAGCATGGTCGCGGTGGTCAGTCCGCGTTGCGTTTCGCACGTCTTCGTATGGAGAAACGTCACAATTATGTCCGCAAAGTGGCTGAAGTGGCAACACAGCTGTTTATAAGTGCTGACAGACCGAATGTAGCGGGTTTGATTCTGGCTGGTTCAGCTGACTTTAAAACTGAACTCTCTCAATCCGATATGTTTGACCCGGTATGAATTTTTTTTTATCTATACTTCTATACTATTATCTATACTTTCTATAATAAAACGTAAACACACACTTCTTTGTTGCCTAAGATGTCAGCAATTACAGCATATTTTTGAATAATTCTTTTTTTTTAAAAAAACTTACTAAACTTACGTCAGGCTTCAGGCTATATTTTTTCACGCCATTAAACTTGGGGGTAAATATTTTGGATAAAATCCCTAATGTGGAAAAGAGACCATAAGGTGCTGCCAACATCAAGGAAGCAAGGTTGTCATCATGTCATTTGGACACTTGCAATTGATAATTTGACAAATATAAACAATAAAATAAAGTTTTTATAATTAAAAACCTGCGGATTAAGAGTCATGGGAACAGCTATTATAATATAAGGTGGCAAACGAGCAAGCGGCCACCTGAATCCATTGAAATGGAAAGTGACCGCTGCACATAGACTGCCTCCTCCACCGTCAAATCCACTTTTCCTTCCCATCCTTTCCTCTTAAGAAAAGGATGGAAAGGAAAGGGACTAAAGTCAGACCTCCAGCACCACATTCATAAGACGGAACATGGAATTGCTTTCACGTCACGCTTGTCATTATTGTATTGTTTAGATAAATAATTTATTGGATTTAAATTTTTTTGTTTTGAAAAAAAAAAAAAACATTTATTCACATAAATGCCTATTTTACTTAACAAAACTATACTAAAGGTATCTTTAAAGATCGGTTTTTAGTTTTTTTTACAAGTTAATGTTAGTTAATAATGGAACTTTAAAATTTACATTAAAAATAATTAACTTTTTACAATAACTTAAAAAAATAACAATATTTGTAAAATTCATAATTATACATAACAGAAAAAAATGGCAATTTGTAAAGTTGTCCTATAGTTTTTGAGTTGATACATTAAAAATTCAAATCTTTCCCCTTTATAACTTTGGATTTTTTTTTAAATTCGCTATAATTATCGTTTTTTTTTAAATTCCAGCGTCTTCAATCTAAAATTATCAAACTAGTGGATGTATCTTACGGCGGTGAGAATGGATTCAACCAAGCAATAGAGTTAGCGGCGGAGTCTCTACAGAATGTGAAGTTTATTCAGGAAAAGAAGCTGATTGGAAGATACTTCGATGAGATTTCACAGGTGATTCTTTTTAAAATTAAACTAGTTTTTAACCGTGACTATATCCACGTGAAATTAAAAAAAAAACAAGCAAGTAGCCTATGTGATCTTCCAGAATATCCTTTACTTTTATGCCAAATATGCCAAAGTACCATTCTGCAGTTTAGGCTACAAACTAAAAAAACATTCATCCATCTAAACTTTCGCAGTATTAATATTAGTAGGATTTGAATTGTTTTTTCAAACTGTGGATGTGGTTTTTGTTTCATACTAGCTTTCGCCCGCGACTCCGTCCGCGTGGAATGGAAAAAATCAAAAATTAGTAGCTTTCCTTACCTTCCAGACTATACTCTACATGTATACCAAATTTCATCGAAATACATTCAGCCGTTTATTTGTTGCCTAAGATGTCAGCAATTACATCATATTTTTGAATAATCCTCTTCTTAATAAAAAGCCCTACACTTGAGTCACGCTTTAGGCTATATATTTTAACGCCGATAAACTAAGGGGGTAAATATTTTGGATAAAAACCCTAATGTGGGAAAGAGACCATAAGTTGCTGCCAACATCAAGGAAGCAAAATTGCCATACTTTGTCATCATGACATGTCATAATGACATTTGCAATTGATAATTTGACAAATGTAAACAATAAAATAAAGTTTTTATAATTTCATGCGGATGAAGCTGCGGGGAACAGCTAGTTTGTCATAAATGTAGAGGATAATCTCGAACACAGAGGCTGCTTACTTTTTTTTCTTAAACTAATTATAAAATATTTTTGTATAATGTTAGTATTTATAATAAATTATTTACAGGATACTGGAAAATATTGTTTTGGTGTGGATGATACTTTGCGAGCGCTGGAACTTGGTGCTGTGGAGACACTCATCTGTTGGGAAAACCTTGATATACAAAGGTCAGTTTGTTTAATAATAATAATTTAATAAGAAGCTCTCGCTAGACAGTTGGATTAAGGGCCCGATTCAAAAGGCGGTTATTTTACAAACCGCACGACTAGTGAGGAGGTTCCTGTCTCTGCCCTGACCACTGGTTGCTTGAGTCATCGGATTCCGCAGCCGGTGGACTTCTATTTTTTTATATAATATGTTTTATTTTGTTATTTTTTTTTTAAAATCATGTGGAATATATTACATATAATAATAAGAAAATAAAGATATGAGAAAAATAATAATTATTGAAGCCTTTAAAGCTTCATCAAAATGTATAAGTGTACCCTTTACTATTTTTTTTACTAACTTTTAACAGTGGTAAAGCCCGCTTTAACATCTTCGCACTGCAGGGCCGGCTCCCAACAATACCACGACCACACAGAAAACAGGCGTGAAGTGGAAGCAATTCCGCGTTTCATCTGATGAGTGTAGTGCCGGAGGCCTAAATTTAGTCCCTTTCCCTTTCCACTCTTTTCTTAAGAGGAAAGGATGGGAAGGATAAGTGGATTTGACGGTGGAGGAGATGCATAGGAAGGGAAAATGTCCTCTTTATGTGCGTCGCTTCCGTCAATGAAGGGTAGGCAACGCTGCAATTGCGGCTGTCTATGTACAGCAGTCGCTTTCCATTTCGGTGGATTCATGCCGCTTGCTCGTTTGCCACCTTATATTATAAAAAAAACTAATGGTGAAAAATAGTAAAAAAAAATCATATAGGCTATTTTTTTTTATTTTTTAATTTCATGCGGACTAAATCTCTAGCAACAGTTACTTGTTAATATCTGTATATATTTTTAATTTCCAGATACGTGTTGAAGTCTCACGCCACCAATCAGGAGACCATTCTCCATCTCACACCCGAACAAGAGAAAGACAAGTCACATTTCACTGATAAAGAGGTAAGTTTCTATTTAAAGTGGATTTTAAATAAACGGAGGGACATTTCATACATAGCGGCCATTTAATATTTATGATAGACTAGTCGTTTCCGTGCGGCTTCATCCGCATATTATAAAACTTTATTTTATTGCTTACATTTGTGTAATTCTTAATCGCAAGTGTCAAAATTCAAATGACAATGAACGCCTTTGACAGTGGATATCAATTACCGTTACCATGGCAAGTTTGTTGTTTATGGTCCTTCTGCCACATTAGGTTTTTTCCAATTTATTTACCTCCAAAGTTTAATAGCGTGAAAATATATAACCTAAAGCGTGTCGTACGTGTAGGGCTTTTTAATAAAGTAAGAATTATTCAAAAATATACTGTGATTGCTGACATCTTACGTCACAAAGAAGTGTGTGTTTACGCTTTATTATAATAGTATAAATAAACAGCTAATCATACTATCATACTCATACTAATATTATAAATGCGAAAGTTTAGATAGATGGATGTTTGTTAGAGTTTGTATCCTAAACTTCTGAACGGATATCGATAAAATTTGCTATAGATTTAGAGGATAGTCTGGAATAACACTTAATCTACACACTTTTGTTTTAATTTAATTCCACGCGGACGGAGTCGCGGGCTAAAGCTCGTGTTATATAGTTCTGTGAGAATTCATTAACGATAAGTATATTGTAAAAATGTTACTTCACCTGGTTGGATAATATAGAAAATATGAATGTCTTTCAGAGCGGAGTAGAACTGGAGCTGGTGGAATGCCAGCCGCTGCTGGAGTGGCTCGCTAACAACTACAAGTCGTTTGGTGCCACATTGGAGATCATCACGGACAAGAGCCAGGAGGGAAGCCAGTTTGTACGCGGCTTTGGTGGTATTGGAGGTCAGTTTATGTATTTGCACAAAGTAATTAAACTAAGACAGTAGAACCTCGATAACTCAAACCTCTATAACTTTAATAAATAATATGTTCCCTTCCCATTAGAGCCCAAAACCTTTACAACATGGACCCTTGGTAACTCAAACCTCTATAACTTTAATAAATAATATGTTCCCTTCCCATCAAAGCACAAAACCTCTACAACATAGACCCTTGATAACTTAAAACCTCTATAACTTTAATAAATAATATGTTTCCTTCCCATCAGAGCCCAAAACCTCTACAACATAGACCCTTGGTAACTTAAAACCTCTATAACTTAAAGTATTTTGTGTTTCCCTTGGACTTTAACTTATCGAGGTTCTACTGTATTATAAATACGAAAGTTTAGATGGATGGATGTTGTAGCCTAAACTGCTGAACAGATATCTGAAATTTGGCATAGATGTAGAGGATAGTCTGGAAGGACACAGAATATTTACATTTGTTTTTTTTTTAATTCTACGCGAAAGGATTCGCGGACAACAGCTAGTTAAACTAATATATTTAACAACTATAATCTAGTTTAGGTACAGTGGTGGAAATCCGCAGTGATCCACTTTTTTTGTATAGATATTTAAAATGTTTGTCCTATTGATTATTATTTCTGAGTTTAAGTGTAATTAAGTTAGTTTATTATTATTGTAGTATATTTATAAGCGTTTTTCTATATAATTACATTTTGTAAAAAATAAATGTTTATGAAAAAACCGTTCATAAATCTAAAGTGAAACACAGCCAAATTCCTTGATAGTACATGTTTGTACTTTAACATATATTTTACTCTTTTTTATAGAGAAGAAATATTTGTAACTTTGTAAATGATAAACTCTAAAACTACTTCACTAATTACAAAAATTCTTTCACCAATAGATATATATTTTATAAGAGAGTGACAAAAAATGTGTTGATAGTAGGTTTTTTTATTCTATTTGAAGTTGCGAGCAAATTTAATCTTATTAATATTAAAACTGCAAATGTTTGGGTGAATGGATGTTTGTTAGTTTGTAACCTAAACTGATCTCGATGAAATTTGGCATATATGTAGAACATAGTATAGAAATAGGATTTTGCTTTTTTTAATTCCACGCAGACGGATACGCGGGCGAAAGCTAACGCTTTATAATTAACTATACTAACAATTTATTTATTTAATGCTGCTTGGATGGACAAACGTCAGGTATTCTGCGGTACAAGGTGGACTTTCAGTCGCTGCAGTTGGATGAACCGCTGGACGATGTCGACCTCGATGACTATTAAATAGGGTGGACAGGATAACGAAAAAAAAATTTTGTTTGTAAAAATACCGACTTCAAAAAAATTTACAAAAATAGTTACAATGTCTTTTTTGCTGGTATTTAAATCCATTTTTAGGAATGTTGAAGTGAAAATAATTAAGGAAGTATTTTTTTGAAGTCGGTAAGAAGAAAACACCAGTCACATACATGTAGTTGTAAGCTTGTATAATTATTTTATAACGGCTTGGATACGCTACTATCGGTTTTGTTATTTTAACGTGGGTTTTCATACCTGAAACACCAATGCATGAATATATTACGTGAAACAAACTTCGTAAGCTGATAAATTCAGTTAAAGATAATATGGTTCATAAAGATATTTTAAATTAAGAAAACTAAAAAAAAACCATTACGATTTACGACCAATGGAGGACTGCTAAGATAGTTTTTTTAAACGAGTGTTTTGTCGTGTAATTTTACTGCTATATATGTATTTTTAATGTTTTGCAGCGTTCGTTAATTCATTTTAAACTTGAAAATAAACCAATGAGTAATATTTAAAAATGCGAAGAAAGTAAATCAAGACATCTTATTTTGTTAAAAAAAAATAATTCACGAAATTTTTTTTTCCGACCAGAAAAGCAAGGAACAACCATAAAAAAAATAAAACCAAAACCAGAAACTATTCTCCCTTGGCATAATTTTTATTGAATTACTTAATTTTGTTAGTATTTAGATTTCTAGTGCTCATGTCAATCTAAACGACTCAATAAAGCACTCCTTACAATCCTAAAAGATTCTTACTATAAAAAAATTACCCGAGTCAAAATAAAATTAGAATTCAGAAAAATATTTATCTACCCCACTTAATGTTTACTCCTTAATGTAATAGACCATTATCATTTCACATCTAATACATATCATTATTTTGATGTGAAATTTTAAAACTACCCTACAAAATATATATAGACTGAAAACAACGAATTGTGTAAACCGACAGTTGCGATCCAATCTGTACTGTTAATAATATATCATAATACAGTAAAAACCGTTTAGAATGACATCAAAAGGATACTAACAATTACAGTAAACAATATTACTCCAATCTTACTTCTTACTAATTTTATAAATGCGAAAGTTTAGATGGATGGATGTTCGTTAGAGTTTGTAGCCTAAACGGCTGAACGGATTTCGATGAAATTTGGTATAGATGTGGAGGATAGTCTGGAAGAACACATAGGCTACTTACTTTTTTGATTCCACTCGGACGGAATCGCGAGCGAAAGCTAGTAAGTAAATATTGTTTAGTTAAACACGCGTTTTAACTCTCACAGCCCTGGATTGATATCGCCAGCATGGTTAATTTTACTAATATTATTATATAAATGCTATGGTTTGGATGGATGGATGTTTGGAAGGATGAAGTTTGTAGCCTAAACTGTTTGAATCTCGATTAAATTTGGCATAGACGTAGAGGATAGTCTGAAAGAACACAGACTCCTTGCTTTTTTTTATTTTACGTGGACGGAGTCGCGGTCGAACGCTAGTTCACCATATATATGTATCACGTTGCTTTCAATATATGTATTGTATTATTTATTATTCAAGATCGCAATTTGCATAATAGTAATGTTAAAAAAAAAACATACAGACAAATTGAGTACCTCCTTTTGGGAAGTCGGTCAATGACCATGGTTTGTTCAAAATCCTCGCTAGGCCTAGAGTGAGGAAATAAGTGTTCACATATGTTTGCTAAAATGTATTTGAAACACTCAACTTTTAAGGGTCTAATGTGTTATTCCAAACATTATAAATAAAAAAGGTCGTATAAGGGTATATCGTAAGCGATAGAATGTTGTAAAAGTAATTTTGGTTACTATAACCCGTATGTCATAGTAATCGGTTTTAACTGTACAATTTTCTCTATTAATTACTTCATTTTGTCAAATATTTTTTCCTCTTCTATCTTGCTTGATATGTAAATATGTATAACAAGATGCAAACTTTATGGTAGCTCGAAGTTTAAACTCTTGTTGGAGGTGGAGTAAAGCAAAAGGAGTATTGTCCTACATCCTTTTACTATATTTAAAAGCTTTTCGTGCACTTACGTTTCGATTCCAAAGTGAAATTAAATATACAAGGAAATGACAAATTCCTTACGGCCATTATAATATACCACTTTGTCTTTGATATTGTGTAAAAAAATATAGGAACAAGGTCGGTGCTGGTTATAGCGCCCTAGGAAAGATTGCTACTGTGCCCTTTTTTTTACCATGACTTAAGGGATGGGGTGTAGTGTTATTTGAGAATAATTCGCATATCTGTGGCGCCTTCTACCCGATGGCACTAAACTATGTTTCTATAAAGCGAGCTGCTGTAAAGTTTGTATGTTACTATACAAGCTTTCTTTTTAAACCGAAATGCCTTGAGCAATAGTGACGCCTTAAGAAATAGTATTTACTATTATACTTAGAACTCCATTCAAGTCGATATGAGTCTTTAGTAACGCTAGATAAACCTATCCATAGATATATAGGTGCTATCCTAACTTAAAAGTGAGAAAATATATAGTCTTCTTGTCAGAATTAATGTGTGCAACCATTATTCACTCGGGCATTTTTATAACGCGCGTTAAATTAATGTTGAACAGAACAAACGCATTTTGATGCATCTTTTCATAATGCAGCGGTTTTTAAACGCGACGCATTTTTACCGCGTTGACTTTTGAGCTTTAAAAGAACGTAACAAGAGTGATGTTAAAGAGTTTTAGTGAGAGTGTTAAAAAAACGCCCGTGAGAATGAAACCTTAGTGTAAACATCCGAGAAATCTATAAATGTTTCGATGGAAATTTGTTTTTTTCTCCAAAACTGTTAAATGTTGAAATTAAGTACAGATTTAGAATATAGTCTGAAAGCACGTTTAGGCTTACTAGATTTTTTAATTATGCGCGGACGAAGTCGTGGGCCAAAGATAGTATACATTTTTTTATTAAAATGAGTAAACAATTTTTATGATGACACTGTTATAAATAATACGTATCACCCTGAAAAGTTCCTGAAATCTATTTAAAAAAATCACATAATAATGTGTGATGAAATTGAAATTACAAAGTGGAATACAAAATTAGTGACGCTAGCTACAATATTGATACATAAATATGCTAGTTTAAATATAAAAGTATATACAGATAAATAACATGTGTGTCTGTAGGTAATATTAATACTTTCATATAACAAAAAACGATATGATCTGTCTGTCCGCAAGGCCGCGTTTGTTCTCGGTTATCTTAGAAACGGCTGGACCGTTTTGACGGGACTTTTACTGTAAGGTTGCTAATATATGTGGAATTAACATAGCCTTTTATATATTTCTACATTGACGATGTTGCGGGCAACAGCTAGTGTTATTCTATTGATCTGACATGTTTTGTGACTAATGACGTCACAATATACCGCCGATTCAAACAAAGGTATAGTTATTACAAACAAGTGGCTTTTGATTAAGAAATATAAATCATTGCATTAGGGCTCCCATGTAAAGGTCCAAGTTAGTAATAGCTTAGAATAAATAAAAGATGTACTTAATTAATAATAATGTCGCCTCCCGAAACTTCTCCGAATCGACTTGAGTGGAGGCAGTTTTTAAATAGATATGGTGCATACAATTAGATGCTATATAATATAAATATGTGCCCTAGAAATATATATGTGAAAACGACGAAAATATTTTAATGGCAAAATAACCAATGTAATCTATATACCTATAATAAAAAAATTGGAGTGTCTGACATCAAAGAAAAATCCATATTTCGGGAAGATGGTGTATTTGCGTTGCAGATAACGCAAATTGCATTTAAAAAAAATTTTGTCTTTGTCTATCTGCAAGCCGCGTTTGTTCCGCGTAATCTCCGAAATGACAGCCTATTTCGACTAGACTTTCACTGAAGGGTAGCTGACAGATAGGCATGTTTTTATTCTTTTTTATCTTAATCTCGCGCGGACAAAGTCGCGGGAAACAGCCACTACTATTTTAAAAGGTATTTAAAAGAATTTTATTGTATTGAATACGCTCTGAAACTACTGAATTGATTTGAAAAAATCTTTCACTGTTTTAAAGTTGTACTATCCCCGGGTGATATAGGTTATATTTTTTACTTTTTAATTTTACACGAACGAAGTCTCAAGCAAAAGTATAATGTTCTCGCATATATTTCTAGGCATAGTATCCATTATATCCAATAGGTTAGTGTAATTGAGAAGCATACATTGCTGTGGTGTGTTACCGGCTTTATTGAAAATAGTTGCCAGTTATTACCAAAGATTACCAAATATTACTATATTAGATTTTGATGTGTTAATTTCGTGTGCCATTTTTTTTATTTCACTGTAAAGATTTTATTTTCTAGATTAGTGAAGAAAATAGTAGTTTTAAGTTTGAAACGAATAAAAATATTTATAAGTAGTATAAGGGTTTGCGGTTTTGTGGAATGGATTGAATGTATGCTTTTCTAATATTACATTATGTTACTGTGAAAGCACGGAATCCGGCAAATTTTTAAATTACCAACTAGTTATAGAAAGTCTTATAAGAAAGAAATTTCTATTCACTTGGGGATTTTCATAGATTTTCACTAAACAGTAATCTATAAATAACTACTAATATAACAAAGCGTAAACACACACTACTTCGTAGCGTAGGATGTCGGCAATCGCAGCATATTTTTGAAGAATTCTTTAATAAAAGTCACTACACTTAAGACACTAGGCTATATATTTTCACGCTATTACACTTAAGGAAATATTTTTAAAAAAAAGCTGCATGTGGGAATGGGACCATGAACTACAAGCTGCCAACATTAAGGAAGCAAAGTTATTATGGTAACGGCTTGAAAAATGTAAAGAATAAAATAAAGTTTTTATAATTTCATGCGGATGAAGCCACACGGGAATAAATAGTGTGATACATCGCCTATTCGTAATTTTTCTAATTATCAATACTAGTTGGTAAGTTTTCGATTTTACCAGTAATCCTTGCGATTGACCGAAATTCGTGCTTTTACAGTAACTGTACATGAAAAAAAAATATAAAAAAAAATGTTTGTTGGTTATTCCCGACTCCATATAATTATACCATATAAAAGGATCTTATATTAAAATTTGTATGATTTAATCCCTAAGAACTGTCCCACCAAATTATAAATTGTCTGATAACAATCCAACGTGTAAAATGTGTGATGGAAACTGAACCTCTATCAGCCAGTGGTGGGACAGGGACTCAATATTCCAGGGGTGGCCAAAATGCTTGATAGTCATTTTTTTGATTTAAATATTTTTTCAAACTGCAATTATTGTAAATACGTATTCAAAAGATGTATAAAACGTGAATTAAATTTGAAACTGAAACTTAAACCACATTTGATTATCTAAAACTTCAAATCCCATTATATTTTCGACGTCAGATTTTAAGCGACGATTACGAAGCGAATTATTTAAAGATTTATTTATATTCAGTTAGTCGTTTCATATTTTTTGTAATCTAAGACATTTTAAGACGCATACTTTACAATATGTTTTTATAGTAATACATAATTAAAAAGTCAACTCGAGTATATTTTTCGCGAGCCAAGAGATGTGATTTGCGACCCGCAATTTGACCACCCCTGTCTTTTATCTTATATTCAATAAGGAATCGGTTATACATTTCCGTTAAAAATAGAATTAAATCAAGAATATATAAATTGTTGGTAAGTTGATTAATAATTTGTATTTTGTGTTTGTGTTTGTAATACTAAATGTCTACCATTTCTTTACACGCTGAGTTTGGACTGAGGTAAAAAGTTATTGGTTTAAAATGTTATACATTGTTTATAGTATACCAGAACATACATCGAATCCAGCAATGGAATACAACTGGAAACTTGTAATCTGAATGTCACTATGAATTATTCAGTGTTCTATCTAATTGTTATCTAGCGCTGGGCTCGGTCGTTGGACTGGAATCGTGAAAACTAAACGTTTACTTTGGTTTTGTAGTTAGTCTTTTTTCTGTGGATATAAAAGTTTACATTTGTAATGGCGCCATATTTAAATTTTATCTATACTATTATAATAAAGCGTAAAACCACACTTCTTTGTTGCCTAAGATGTCAGCAATTACAGTATATTTATGAATAATTATTTTTTTTAGCAAAAAGCCGTATACTTACGTCACGCTTTAGGCTATATATTTTCACGCTATTAAAATTAGGGGGTAAATATTTTGGATAAAAACCCTAACGTGGGAAAGAGACCATAAGTTGCTGCCAACATCAAAGAAGCAAGGTTGCCATGGTTTATCGTAATGTCATGTCACTTTGACATTTGTAATCGATGATTTGACACATTTAAACAACAAAGTAAAATTTTCATAAGTTTATGCGAATGAAGTCGCACGGGAACAGCTAGTTTAGAGAATATTTCGATATTCAGATTTCATTGTTATATTTCTGTGTTTATGATACGATTTTGTTTAAATGTTTTTTTGTTTGGTGACTTGCATGAAATTTAGTTTTAATTTATAAAAATTGCAGTATTCCAGTGAAGCGATTGAAATCATCGCTAGGTTACGACTGGAATAGTGTAGACAGGATGTTATGATTCATCAATTATTTTCTTATGTTATGCATGATGTGTTTTTTTTATGTTTTCGTTCAAATATAATTAAACAAATACACAAGGAAAATAGGTAGAAATGTAATGAATTGTTTTTTTTTTTATAATAACGTCATTGGAGTTCAATTGTAAGAAATTCAAATTATTAATTTTAACATTATCAATCTTCTAATTCTAATATTTATTTCCAGGTCTCCTTCGTTACAAAGTGGACTTCCAATCTATGCAACTTGATGATGAAGAGATCGACAACCTTTACGACGTCGATGACTACTAGACAAGCGAGCGAGCGACGTATGTGCCTTAATACAACGTAACAGCGACCAGATTTGTTTGATTTGAAAATTGTAATACATTGCTATTTGTGATTCAACAACATTACATTGCCAATGGGCATGTTTCCTAATTTTTGGAATTGCTTTTATTATGTAGATAATCCATATCTAAACACGGAAAAAATGTAATAAAATCATATACGCATCATTTCATTACAAAAACACTTAACTAAAAACAACTTCTTGAAAGAACGCGAAAACGCTCCATGACGTCACTTCTTTGCTAACAAACTAAGAAACAATGCAGCGTTTTTAATTTATATTTCACTTGAGACAAACATTCAAGGTCTCTAAATGTTGTTATAGGTTTTAAAATACTGTCTTTAAAATATTAAACATAACTTTATTTGGATTTGTAACATTAGGAAACATCCCCATTGTGATGAGTCAATGATACATTGCAATTTGTGATAATCAATGATACATTATAATTTGTGATGAGTTAATGATACATTACAATTTGTGATGAGTTAATGATACATTACAATTTGTGATAATCAATGATACATTGCAATTTTTAATGCAACAATAATGATTCATAGCAATTTGTGATGTATCGATGATACATTACAATTTTTGATGAATTAATAATACATTACAATTTGTGATGAATTAATGATACATTACAATTTGTGATCATCAATGATACATTGCAATTTTTAATGCAACAATAATGATTCATAGCAATTTGTGATGTATCGATGATACATTACAATTTGTGATGAATTAATGATACATTGCAATTTGTGATGAATTAATGATACATTGCAATTTGTGATCAGTTACTCTGATACATTATAATTTACAACTGTAGGACAGTTTTAATAGGTCACAATAACAACAGAATTTGATTCATGTAATGTTTAAATTCCGTATCGATTCCCATTAAGCGGTATTTTTAATTTTAATTACCACACTCTTTAAGATGTAGATATATGTTAAATACCTATTATATTGATTATTATATTGCTCTCACTATTCACGCATCTAAATTGTGTTTGAAAATTGTGACTAAATCATGTTGGATATATGTAAATTGGATTAATACATCTTGATACTTGTTTGTGATTCAAATTAAATAATGGAATAGCTCAAATAATAAATAATGTCGCTGTTACGTTGTTGATCGGGGTTATGTCATATATCGTGTTTTATTTATGTTAAAAAATGTTAGATTATTTACACACAAAAACAAAGTATCAATATTATTTTATTAAGCACTGGAAAATAAGAATGTTTTATATGGTTTATTTTGGTGTCCAAATGTAAAACAGTAATTTATTGAAAAAAACAGATACAGAATTACAAAAGAGACTTCAGAACAAAAATGAACTGATTTTTTTATTAAATGAAGATTTGTAAAAAAAAAGAAAAACCGTATACCGAAATTAGTATTATAGATTAAAAAATATATTACTATTAATGATGTGGAGTATATTTGCAATATTTTAAACATCACAATGTTTTTTGTAGAAAATTATTTTTATAATATGACCCTAAAATAAGGAAGGATAGTGCTTAACGTTACAAAAGTGCTTTTAAAAATTGTCACAAGACCCTTGTCGAAATCTGATCTTTATAGATAGATCGATAGACTACCGTTAGCGCTAACTTGGCGAAATTCAAACACAAAATATCAGTTCGTAGCCTGTCTATGTATACAGATCAGTGTTTTCAGACTGCAACTATCAAGTCATGTATTTTCTATTCCTAAGTTTGACACATTTTCTTAAAACTAACCTCTATAGAGCGTCACGAGGCCAAATAAGTTTATCGCACTATAATTAACAGAATAAAACATGGTATATGACATTCAAGTCTAAGACCTAATATTCCCTGGATAGGTTGTTTTATTCAGACTTGTGCGTGTTGATGTTACTCTCTTAGTACTCATTTAATTGTCTTTTTTGAGTTTCCAACATCAACTATAAGCGCAAAAATAACGAAAACAAATAGGCACAAAATACCACCGCTTATCGGCTATCCAGTGGAATGTAGAGGTTTTGTAAGTCTTCAAGCAATATCGAACTTTGTGCAAAGAAGATAATATTGCACGTAGTTTTTTTGCAAAAGACAATGTTATATCAATGTATCTAGCAAATATGTTTCGGAAATGGAAGCATTTTTATTTCTCCCTGTAATATAGAAAATAAATGGTCGGTTACTGAATACTGTTTTATTTTTTGTACTCAAGACCACACAAGACGGGCGTCAAGTGGGAGCAACTCGATTCTTCTGATACAAGGCCTATTTCGTACAAAGTACGGTGGGACAAAGAGGAATGGGCTGGGGATGGAACGAAAAGGGATGAGACTCAGACTTAAGGTAGGCATCTGCAAATACGGATGTCTAAGCAGCGGTCGTTTCGCTACTATGGCGAATTCTGGTGGCCACTTTTTCGTTTGTCGCCATATACTTGAGTCGCACCACTGGTAGGTACAGAAAAATAGAAAACATACAGACAATTGAGTACTTCCTTCTTTTGGGAAGTCGGTCAACAATGTTAAATACTATCTATTGCGGTCAAAAACATCATTCAAAGCGCCTGGATCGGACATATTTAGAAGGAAGAAAATTTTTAAAAGATAATTCCTCTATATAGAGATGATATCTATAGTCACATCCTATCAACAGTGTTGCCAATGCTACAGCAATTGCCGTGTTCTACGGCTTTCAGGTAAAAAAAAAAAACAATTATACCTAGATGGCTTTTGAATGAATAATAAAATTAATCATTGATCCGCAATGATTTCTACCGAGAATAATAAAATTCAAATAAATTATTCACGCTTAAAATATCGTATGATTTTATATAACACACAGGGACAATTTCAATACAATTCACTGATGATAAAAACATCTAGCAAGTGTTTTTTTTCTTTTTTTAAGTACACCTAAGTTTCACCATCGATCTTTTTTCATACAAATACGGCCTTTTGCACAATGTATTCGTCCCCCGGCTTGCTCTGGCTGGGTAAAAATTCTCATTGGCAACATTGATGATAATTTACGTCAAAATGAAATTTCTATTTTGTCTGTGATTTTCCGTGACCCTGACCGTATTTGTTGATTTTCATGCATTTATACCGATAATAAAATAAACAGAGCAGTCTTAATCATGTATAGAATCATAGAATAATTTACAAATCGATAAAATGAGTGTTAAAAAAGGTAAGGGTCCCATTTACGACCCAGGCTTGTGTCGATGTTGTGGCATCATGAAGAAATGCCGCGTCTTGAATGTGGAATATGACTTCATGGGCGTTAAAGAAGTATACTCCGACATCATGGTTGATTGCTTCGGCCTTTTGGTGAGTTTTATCTTTCGATAGTTCTTCGTTCAAATATTGGTTTAACTATTATAAGTGTTTAATTAGAGCAACAGTTGATTTACACAAACAAGCACCAAATATGAGAAAAAAATCCCGCGTTTTTAATTAATTTTTCTCCTCAGCTATCTCACTTAGAAGGCAAGCCAACGGAGCGTTTAGTTTGTGCGACGTGTGTGATGAGGTTACGTGATGCACACAGCTTCAGGCAGCAAGTAATACGTTGTGAGGAGGCATTTCTACAAATACGGATGTCTGAAGATCCTCAAAGTATGTTCATATTTTGTACAGTTAGTGCCCTTCGTGGTGTTACACTTACAGAAATATTGCTTTATTCCTTGCAACAAGACAAACTCTTGCTAATAACCTATTTCTTTAGTTGCTCATTGTCTCAATATGAATGATATATTGAAACCACAGTAGCATATTTGGTGGAGGAGACACATGAAAAAGGTAATATTCTTTTTCTGTGTGTCTCCTCTGTTATTTTTTTTTTTAATAACATAAGGTGGCAAACAAGCAAGCGGTCACCTCAGTCCGAATTGACCGCTGCCCATAGACATCCGCAATTGCAGATGCGTTGCCTACCCTTATCCGACGGACGAGGAGACGCACATAAAGAGGACATTTCCCCTTCCTATGCATCTCCTCTACCGTCAAATCCACTTCCTCTTCCCAGCCTCTTCTTATAAGAAAAGGGTGGTAAAGAGAAAGGGACTAAAATTAGGCCTCCGGCACCACACTCATCAGACGAAACACGGAATTGCTTCCATTTCACGCCTGTCTTCTGTGTGGTCGTGGTATTACTGGGGGCGTGCCGGCCTATTCGTGCTAAGATGTTAAAGCAGGCACTACCACTAATTAAAGATAGATAATGCAACATGCACAAGTCTATGGCTAGACTAGATGTCACAATTCAGCAAATTTGTACCACTGCCTGCTTTTTATACTTCAATAGTACACCAAATACAAGATCGTAATAAACTGAACTATTATTATTTTATGTGGATGAAGTTTGAGTTATTTTAACATATCTATGTTTTACAGAGAGTGAATCATATTCAGGGATTAAAGTAACGGTGGTGAAAGAAGAGGTATATGAGCCCCAACCTTGCTCACCAACATCCCCTACTGGTGATACTGCTGATACAGCTGATGGTAAGTAAATTTTGGTAAAACTGGTATATATTTTAAAATTTCAATAAGATATGTTGAACCATTGCAGAATGGTTGAGTAAACATTAAAAAACTAAATTAATGAATCCCACGGGAACCGTAACTATTCCCAGGATAAAAAGTAGCCTATGTGTTTTTCCAGACTATGCTCTAAACCTGTGCCAAATTTCATGGAGATCCATTCACCTGTATGGGCTACAAACGCTAACAAACACCGATACATTGTAACTTATGCATTTATAATATTTTTATGATTATAAGATTCACAATCAGCGAATTTTTCTGCATCGTTAATAAATAATGAAGTAAGCAGAATTATAGTAATTTTATTCTAGAACCAGTCTAAAAGTCTCTCAAATGAAATTATTTTCAGGATTTGTTATTATGTGTTTCTAAAAATGAAACCTTTAAATGGCTCTCCTGAACATTTAACCTAATAACGCTTAAAACAAATAGCATTTCACCCATCAATATTATTTATTTAGAAACTAGCTTATGCGCGCGACTCCGTCCGCGTGGAAATAACAAAAAACAAAAGTGAATAGCCTATGTGTTCTGTGTCAAATTTTATCGAGATCCATTCAGCCATTTAGACTACAATTATTTAACTACAATTAGTATGATGTTTTATGTTAGTTAAAGGTCACTGCACATTGACCTCATTGTACAACATCTAAAATTGTGTAATACACTGTTTCAAGTGAATAAATGTAAACTATTACGATTTTGTTCTATAATTTCTTTATTTGTTCTTTTACTCAATATATATACAATTTATTACAAGAGCTCACATTTACATTGTTACTTGCTTTGTATCATATCTTGCACTCATTAGGTTTACGCCTATCATTGGATTTTTATTACTTTTTTAATTTGTTTTGTGGTGACTTGTCAGTGGCCAGTATTAACATAAGAATCTTTACCTAAATAAATACTTACTAAACTTACTAAATACTTCAAACCTCGGTAACTTAAAAACCTCTATAACTTCAAAAAATAATATGTTCCCTTCCCATCAGAGCCCAAAACCTCTACAACATAGACTCTTAATAACTTGAAACCTCTATAACTTAAAGTATATTGTATTTCCCTTGGTCTTTAACTTAATGAGGTTCTACTGTAATTATAATACAAATGGTGTGCTAATCTATTGCCATCTGTTTATCAATATAGACTGACCTTACAAGATATTTGAATATTTTTATACCTTTTACACTGCATTGATATAACAAAAATATAATATCTATACTATTATAATAAAGCGTAAACACATACTTCTTTGTTGCCTAAGATGTCAGCAATTACAGCATGTTTTTGAATAATTCTCATTTTAATAAAAAGCCCTACACTTATGTTATGCTTTAGGCTATATATTATATATTCTCACGCCATTAAACTTAGGGGGGTAAATATTTTGGACAAAAACCCTTATTTGGGAAAGAGATCATAAGTTGCTGCCAACATCAAGGAAGCAAAGTTGTCACAATTTGTCATCATGTCATATCATTTCGACAGTTGCTATTAATAATTTGACAAATGTAAACAATAAATAAAATTTTCATAATTTCATGTGGACGAAGCCGCATGGGAACAGCTAGTTGTTGTATATTTAAGCTGTGTTAATCTAAGTTCTATGCTAAGGTGATATCTCTAATAATTACAGATAACCACTTAAATTATGCATCATCAGATGATGACAGACCACTTTTATTGAAGAGGAAATCTGAAGATATAAATAGTAAAGCAGAAATAAACAATCAACCAATTGACAATATAAAGAAAGTGAAATTAGATCAAAAGGATGTACCAACTGTAAAGATGATCAACAAAAGTATGTATATGTTTTATTTATTTTTATACTATGAGGTGGCAAACGAGCAAACGGCCACCTGAAACCACCGAAATAGTTAAACGACCCCATAGACAGCCGCAATTGCAGATGCGTTGCCTACCCTTAAACGGAGGAGACGGACATAAAGAGAATATTTCCCCTTATGTGTCTCCTCCACCGTCAAAATCACTTTTCCTTCCTATCTTATCCTCTTAAGAATAGGGTGGAAAGAAAAAGGGACTAAAATTAGGCTCTGGCACCAGTTATCAGACTGTACATAGAATTCCTTCCACTTGACGCCTGTCTTCTGTGTGGTTGTGGTATTTACACTGGGCAAGCCAACCCATTCATGTGAAGATGTTAAAGTGGGCTCTACCATTTTTATATTTAAAATATATTCATCATCATCACCAGCTCATTATACATCCTCAATGAGGGGGAGCCTAATAAGGGGTGACCAGGCCTTAGTCAACCATGCTGCACTGCTGGTTGACTTTACACATATCTTTGAATTTCTTTGCCGATATGTGCAGGCATCACAATGTTTTCCTTCACTGTACAAGTCGGGTTATGTACATATGAAACTAGATAAATCGAAAATCACATTGTTCGTATTTGAATCCGAGGCCTGTAGATTACAAGTGAAGTGCTCAAAACCAGCCACCGATGCTCTTTAAGAGTGTACATTGACCAAATACTAAAATTATCTTATTTACAAACAACCAATTAAAAAATCTAAATAACTAAGTAGTGTGTGTTTACGCTTTATTACCAGCTTTCGCCCGCGATTCTATTCGCATGGGATTTAAAAAAGAAAAAGTAGTCTATGTTCTTTCCGTTTATGTTTTATCTGTGACAAATATCATCAAGGTCTGTTGAGTCTTAGGAGATAGCTTCTAATGTCCACCTAAATCTTCGTAAAATATCTTACTAGTATTATAAATGTTTGGATGGAGGTTTGTAACTTAAATTGCTAAACTGATCTCAATGAAATTTGGCATAAAAGTAGAGGATAGTCTGGAAGAATACATAGGCTTACTTTCTTTTGTTTTTAATTCCAAGCAAACGAAGTTATGGGCGAAAGCTAGTATAACCGTAAATAATGTTATGTAAATTCTTTTCCAGGACTACCAATGTCTAAAGTCCAGCAATTAATGCGTGAAAGAGACCCATCGTATAAAATAGAGACAAATATATTAACAATAGTGGAGAATTCATATGTTTGTCCGTTCAAATGTAGACATAATAATTTACTATGTTATTATTGTGGTGAATTCTTTCATGATCCACAACTTTTAAGGCAACATACTGCGGAAGTCCATCATCCGAGGAAATTCAAAGTTTGCAACCACAGAAATATAATGGTCAAATTAGACATGACAAGAATAGATTGTAGATTATGTGATGTGAAAATCGATACTTTAGATGATTTTAAATTGCATATAACAGATGTGCATAATAAAATATTCTATTTAGATATAAAAGATGTTGTGTTGCCGTTCCGTCTGTCTAAAGATGAGTTGAAATGTGCTAAATGTGATATGGTTTTTCCGTATTTTCATGCTTTGAACAAACATATGAATCAACATTATAATAATTTTGTATGTGAGACTTGTGGGTTAGGGTTTGTTGATAAGGGTAGGTTGGGGATGCATCAACTGCGTCATGAAATTGGTGATTTTCCATGTGAGATATGTGGGAAAGTTTTCAAATCGGACCAGAATAAGGAAATACATATAGACAGGGTACATAGGAAGCGTGCTAGAGTTTTCTGCCCCAAATGTGATGTGAGATTGATGACCCATCAACAGAAGTTGAAGCATTTAGTTGAAGTGCACGGGGAGGAGCCGTTGAGTTTTCCATGTAATTTGTGTGACAAAGTCTTCGATGCGAGACGTACACTTACAACCCATAGGAGGAAAGAACATCTGAGGGACTTCAGGTTAGTGGTGAAAATTATAATTATAAATAGCTTTTGGTTAGCGTGGTATGGACATGTTATGCGACGAAATGATGGGGACATAAACCAGAAAGTGTTGAGATTGAATGTGGATGGCTACAAAGGAAGAGGAAGACCGAAGAAAGTATGTATGGATTGTGTGAAAGAAGATATGCTTAAGAAAGGAATGTATTCAGAGATGACGGCTGCTAGAGGTGTATGGAAGAGCAGCACATACTGTGCCGACCCTCCGTAAGGGATAAGGGCAAGTGGATGATGAGCTTTTGCCCGCGATTTCGCCTGGAATTAAAAAAAAACAAAAGTTAGTAGATAATATGTTCCAGACTATCCTCTACATCTATGACAAATTTCATCGAGATTTATCCTTAAACAAGCATTTATGTTAGTAAGACTAGCTGTTGCCCGCGACTTCGTCCACGCAGTATCAAGATAAAAATAGGCTATTATTGCCTGTCTATGGCAGCTACCCTTAAGTGAAAGTCCCGTTAAAATCGGCTCAGTCGTTTCGGAGGTTACCTGGGACAAACGCGGCTTGCGGACAGACAGACAGACAAAAAAAATTAAATGCAAATTTTGTTATCAGCAACGCAAATACATCATATTCCCGAAATCTGGAATTTTTCTTTTGATATTACAAACGGATAATCCAATTTTATTATATGTATAGATTACTATTTCGATGAATTTTTTTACTTTTTAAAAGTGTATTTTTATTCCTGTATAGGTATGCAATTAGTACAGCCGGTTACCCTATTAATTAAGCTATATATAACTTGAGTGCGAAGGGACCAGCTGAAAATCAGCGCAGGAACGGCTTTGTCCCTCCTGCATACTAAGCTGGCTACCTTTTGTCACGTGTTTTCTTTAGAATAAGTCTGTTTATGTAATTCCTACTTTGTGGCAATAAATACGTATTCATTCATTTAATTTTTTTTATATTTGTAGATATGAATGTAGTTACTGCGGACACAAGTTCTTCACGAAGTTTGCTCTCAACAATCATTTGCCAACTCACACCGGGGAGAGAAACTTCAAGTGTAAAGTTAGTATGTTTTATATTATTATTTAGTATGTTTTTTTTTTTAATATAATATGAGTTGGCAAACTCGCAAATGGCATGAATCCACCGAAATGGAAAGCGACCGCTGCACAAAGACATCCGCAATTGCAGCGCTGCCTACCCTTCACTGTCGGAGGAGACGCACATAAAGAGGATATTTTCCCTTCCTATGCGTCTCCACCGTCAAATCCACTTTTCCTTCCCCTCCTTTCCACTTAAGAAAAGGGTGGAAAGGGAAAGGGACTAAAATTGGCCACCGGCATCACACTCATCAGACTGTACGCGGAATTGCTTCCACTTCACGCCTGTTTTCTGTGTGGTCGTGGTATTGGTGGTGGCGAGCCCTGCAGTGCGAAGATGTTAAAGCGGGTTCTACTACTGTTAAAGTAATGTGAAGTGGAAGTAATTCCAGATTTTCATGCCCATTTTATTATAAGAAAGAGTTAGTTTTTAGCTTAGCTTTGTAGTTTTTAGGACTTTAGGACGGGAAGGGAAAGTGGATTTGGCTAAGGAGACAGGAAGGGGAAATATCTATATCTGTCAATTAAGGATATGCAACGCATGCGATTGCGGATGTCTTGGCAGCAGTCATTTCGCTTTTTAGGCGAATTTAGGTCGCTCGTGTTTAAAAATATGGGAAGGGATAGTGGATTTAACAGAAGAGGGGATTCATAGGACGGGGAAACATTTTAGTGTGTTTAAAGTTAACAACGCATTTGGAAATGTCTATACACTGATTGTTTCGCTATTTTGGCGAATTTAATTAACTGTTTTCATATGTTAAACAGTTTTACTACTGTAAAATCATGTAAAACTGTGTTATTTCTATTCCTAGGTGTGTGAGAAATCTTATCCTCGTATGAAAACTTTGAAAGACCATATGCGGATACATACGAACGACAGACGATATCGATGTCACGTTTGTGGTCTAGCTTTCATACAAAATTGTAGCCTTAAAGGGCATATGAAAAGTCAACATCCAGAATATGGATAAAGAGAGTTTATCCAGAATAAGACTATCCCAGATAATGTTACTCCGAACCATAAGTTAGTTAGAATTTGAAAGAGTTTAAAAATATATATAGAGGAGGCTTAGTTGACACTTCACATGAGATATTTACATACAATATAGTATGTCTAAATAATTTAGATTAGTTTGACAATTCATTTCAAATTTAGTAGGGATGGGTTGTGTAATCAGTCATGAATCTTATCGATATTCGATTTTTATTCTTATACAAGTTGGAATCGATAGATTTGTAGTTATAACTTATGAATTAAAAAAAAACACTGGTTTCTCAAATTATTAATTACCATAACAAATAATGAGAGTAAATAAATGTTTATTACTACTACAGCCGTACGTAATCGAATTGGATTTCGCTATCATTTCTGTCATCGTTAAATTCTCTACACTGTAATCAATACTAGAATTGTCCTCTAAATTAGTTAATAAAAAAAATATTTTTAGTTGAGTTTGATAATTATTTAAACCGAATATCGATAGTTCATAATTGTTCGCTGCGTGTTTCGTCAATACGATACCTGTCTATTAAGTACATTTGCCTTCATACAAATTGATTTCGATACTTCATATGCGTCATTTATCAAACTAATCTATCTTTTTTAGACAAACTATAATTGCATCGAAATTAATTTCCAACGGTGACACTAAATATTTTATTTTTGTGGCACTGTTTATTTTATTTTTATAACAAGAAATGGAGCTTACAATTTTGTAAAATGTTTTATAACATGTCAATATAGAGGTGACAGTAAACTTGACAACTGACAGTACCTGTCATAGAAAGTACCGGTGGAAATTTTGGTCACTGCCTCGTCTATATATTTTTAAATGTCTGGAATATGATATTATGTTATTTTTAGAGTTTTTTTTATTAAAATCTAATTCCTACTATTAGCTTTTTCATTGACTCGTATTTTGTAAGTTAAATTAAATCCCTGTTGTAAGGTTTTATGATTTTTATATACGGACTACTGAAGAAAATGCATTTTTTGTTCTGTGTTTGTAAATTCAAGATGGTTATGACAAGATTCGTGGAAGACATTTTTGTCTGTCAGGGTTTGTCAAATGAGACCGAAGAAAGTATGGATGGATTGTGTGAAAGAGGATATGGTTAAGAAAGGAGTGTATTCAGATATGGCTGATAGAGATGTATGGAGCAGCACATACTGTGCCGACCCTCCGTAAGGGGTAAGGGCAAGTGGATTATGATGAGGGTTTGTCAAAATGTAACACTAGCTGTTGCTAGCTTCGTCCACGTGTAATAAACTCAGCGATAACGTAGCTTTATGGTGAAAGAATTTTTGAATTATGTACAGTAGTTTTTGAGTTATATTATTATTTACAAAAATTCAAATTTTTCCTCTTTATAGTATAAATGAAAAATCCAAGATGGCCGTCATTATAAAAATAAAAGACACATATTTACTTTAAAAAATTGCTATTAAATGAAATTTAAAACTTGAATTGCTAAAAGTAGGAATGGACTTTTTTTTAATATAGTTTTTTTTGTATAATTTTTATCTTTAATTAAAACAGTTATCATGCCCCTTGTAATCTTAAAGTATTTCTTAAAATATATGGCAATAATTTTTTGTAAAGAATCTACTGATTATATTTGTGTAATGTAAATAAAAATATATTTTGTTATTGAAAATTATTTGTTTTATTTATACTGATTTTCCTTACAATAAAATAAGCAATTTCTAATTAAATAAAATGAGGACAAGCTAAATACATAATACATTAATTTAAAAAAGAAGTAATGCGCTAATTTATTTACATTCTTATTTGTTTATAATAAAACCACTGATCTGTATAAATAGATAGGATGCTGAAAACCTTTTGGTACGTTTCGACTTATACGCACATTATCGATAATAGCAGTTAAATCTATTATTAGATCGATTACTTTAGCACGACCAACCAAAAACATCATTAAAATGGCAAGAATCAAATATACACAAAACAGCATGTCCATTTGTAGAGATCAGTGAATAAAACTTTTGGATGCGTGATTACAGACGTTAAAACAATAATTGACATTTGACAGATTAAATTGTCAATTTTTAAATTCCCTAATGTATTGATTTTTTTACAAATATTTCAATAATTAAAAATGACCACAAAACAGAATGACGAGGATGAAATGGAATGTAAAAGGGCGGTAAGACATAAACCGGATATGACAGTTACTGAAGGTTAGAATTAAAATAAAAGAAAAATCGAATAAGGAAGTTTTAGACTTGAGAAACTAAAGAATTAAAAAAAAGATAGTAGCCTATGTGTTCTACCAGACTATCCTCTACATTTGTACCAAATGTCATCGAGATCTGTTCAGCAGTTTAGGTTACAAACTAACAAACATCCATCTAAACTTTCGCATTTATAATAAGTATGACGTACAGAGATCGCAAGAGCTATCGGCAATAACTACAGAACTGTGCCAGCATTTGAGAAGGGTTTATTCGACTACGTTCTGACCAAACATTACTCATTGGAAAGGAACCAGTATCTGCAATGTCGCTGGTTGGAATACAAAAGAGGCTATGAGAAAAGAGTCTTTGCTCCCTTCCAGTTTCCCAGCCACAGGTTAATCTAATTTATAGCGTAACTAAGAATATAAAAATCATGCTATATGAAAAAAGGAATTATTTTTTTGCGTAGTTTGAGTGTATGTAAGTGATTGTAGCTCCCTCTGGCCAAGATCTTTATGCTTTCATTTGCAGTCAATAGATGGCGCTATTTCATGTTTTAAGCCTGTCGGTCTGTGTCGGTTTTTAAATACAATAGAACCTCGATAAGCTAAAGTCCAAGTGAAACAGAAAATATTTTAAGTTATAGAAGGTTTTAAGTTACCGAGGTTTGAGTTATCGAGGTTCTATTGTATCAGGTTTCCTTATGTTTGTTTCGCTTTGGTAGGTTAATAAATTATTACTTTCTTAAGGGATCTTCATTTTCACAACGGGGCGGTGCGGTTTCGTCCCGCGGAATCAATACATCGGCGTACAGATCATCGCATGCAGTTGCAGCCCGGCCCTGGCGTTGACAGATATGGTCAGATGCCTATCCCGTACGAACTGTTCATGAAGAGAGGAGAAGATAAAAAGGAGAGGAAAGAGAGGAAGAATATACATAAGACGGAGAAAAAGACAGAGAAATAGAATTAAAACGTTACACATATTTTTTATTTTATTTAATTACACTTGAAAAAAATCGTGCCTTTTTTCCTATTAAGGAATGAGAAATGTTATTTGCACTTCTCAATGACATGGGCGTCACCAGCAGATTGTTTTTTTTACACTAACTTTAAAAAAACTAACCTATGTGTTCCTAAATATTTATGCCAAATTTCATCAAGATCCGTTCAGCAGTTTAGGCTATAAACTCTAGCTGGTATTTGTCCATCCATCTACACTTTCCCATTTATATTTAGCAATATATTTTACATTTTACGTCTTCACAGATGTGGAGAGGATTGCTGTATTCAGTGCAAGCAATGAAATAAAAAAGCAGTATTCTTTAATTATTTTATTGGCACATTTGTATGTATTCTCTTAACATGTTTACGTAATGAATCCTTCGTCGCAAACAGCGTGTCACACGCCTCACATAAAACTTGCTTCTCTTTAGTGTGCGTCACTTTATGCCTCGTGACGTCAGACTTGGCATAGAATAAACGATGGCAGATATCACATTCAATATTCTTTTCCTTCTGGTGTACATTTTTGACATGATTATTTCTTAAACTCCTCGTTATAAAAACTTTCGAGCAAACTTGACATTTATGCTCTGGCTTTGGTAAGCCGTGCGCGTCAACTAAATGTTGCGTTCGAATATTTTCTTGAGAGAAACGTTGTTGACAATATTTACAAGGGAATCTAAATTTTTTTGCTATTTCTTTCTTATGGATAGATATATCGTGGCGTTGTTTTTCAGCGTTCGTAGGGAATGTTATATCACAGTTTTTACAACGCCATATTCGATGCGACCTACTTTTATGTAGAGTTAAAAGGACAGAGTTTGAGTATGTCGACCCACATATGGAACAGATATGCTTTTTATAATGTTTATTCATATGAACGTTAAGAGGACGAAAGGAATCGAATGATTCATTACATAATTGACATTGAAGGTGCCGGTTGATTTTGAACGGCATTAGTAAATCGTCGTTCAAATTAAATTGTATATTATGATTTTTTAGATGGTGACGTAATTCAATCAAATTATTCAATTGTTTCTCACATAATTTGCAGAATAGTTGAGTTATATCAACTTTAACCATTCTATTCTGTTGGCGTATGATTTTTTCATTTAATTCCTTGAGCGTGTGTACTTCAGCATGCAGTCTTAGTTCGTCTATATTAATAAAACTTTCTTTGCAAAGATAACATCTGTACCAACTTCTGTTCCATTGAAACACGCAGACGGTGGAGTTGGAGATTATATTAAGTGTATCTTTCCTCATCAATGTCGCGTAGCTGCGGGCGCTTAATATTTTCTTTTCTAACTTCGGCTGTACTGAAAACAATTGGGAAGTTGAAATCATAGTTTAAATAACCAAATGTGTTTTTTTACTTTTTACTTTACCATGGTTACCATTATTAGGGTTGAAAAGATATTTGGAAGCTTTATTATTCTTTTTTAAGCGCTTAAACAAGACAAATTCAAATTAAATCGTACCACAATTATTGGTGTTATTTCTTTCCATTTCTTCATTATTAATTTCCAATTGTTCCACTTTAATAAATGATTCCTCTATATCTTCATTACAATTATTATAATTTCCTGTAACAATAAAGGAGTTTACAGTCTGGTTATAGACGAAATCTGGCTTCAAAATTTCATAGAACAATGTACAATCAGACAAGCTTATGAATCGGTGAGAGGAGTACTGGTATTGCAGTTCTGTCAGAAAATATTGAAAACTATATGAAAGAAAGAATGACAACACATGGGTGTCGCTAGGAGGAGGCTGTCGTAATTTAGTTTGATCAGCCCTACTGGATCAGACATCCTTGTCGGTACATACCTGTGATAAAATATAACCTCAAAAACTCATCACGTCCAATACATAACAAAGTATAATGATTCATGGTTTAGAAATAAATATCATATTACAATCAATTTTCTATATTATAGAAATTTATTTAATTAAGTATATGTTATCTAAGTTAGTTATATTTGAATTATTAATATTTAGACATTATGTTTTCTAGCGAGATGTTTGTCTAGAAACAGCTGACTACTGTATGATATTGTACAAATGGAGCATGTGAAACCCAATACAGAATTTCTTATATTTCGATGGACCCTTGTTATATGATTATACTTTCCGGACCGAGACTTAAATGATTTCCCACAAAAAGTGCACAAAAAGCTATCACCACCACTTGCAAAATTATGAACTACTAATTGATGCTTCTTCCTCATCTCCCATGATGAGAAACGTGGCTTATCTTCGCAGTACACACATGCATACCGTTTAGAAGTATGTTTTGTTTTTAAATGATCATTTCTTTCCAATAAATTTGAGAAAGTAGCTGAACATCTTGAACAAGAATATTTGTTCTCATGCGGTATTTTATTGTGAGCTATCAATTCAGATTCCGTCAAAAAACCTTCACCGCAAGTATCACAAACATAGTTATCGAAGTGACTTTGAGTGTGTTTCTTCAAAATATCGAAATTTATGGAGTAATTGTTACAGATTGCACAGTTCCATGAGGATCCGTCGTCCAATTTAAACGGGAGTAGACCGTTCTCAGCATCAGAATTTATAGGTTGTTCATGTTCATTCTTTAAATGATCTACAAGAATGTCTAATTTATCAAAAGCTTTCGAGCATAGTTTACATTTGAGATCAGTTATATCAACATTCAGAAAGCCTCTTTTTAATTTCTTATAAAATGCATTTTTAACATCGTAAGTCTTATGCTCTGTCGCCATGTGATTCCGAAAGAAGACAGGATTTCGTGTCTTAATTCGACAGAAGATGCAAAACAAATTACTCATCCAAGTCCTGAAGGGATACGCTGTTGAACACTGCAATATTATTTCTGCGTTACTTCTCGGTTGCATCACTCGTCCGTTCCGAGGAATGTAAGCCGATTTAAAACATTTCACTTGTCTCTGATGATCCCTCAACGCTTGATAAGATATGAAGGTAGTTCCACATTTCTCGCAATTGTAATCCATGAAGTGGGTAGTTATGTGATTTTTGATCTCGATGAATTCAGAATAAGTTTTACCGCATGTAACGCACATCCAATGGTCGTTAACAAACTTGTAGGGTAGGACGCCAAAGCTGGCTTTTAAATTAACTGGTAAATTGTGTTTTTGTGCGAAATGGATCATTAGATCATTTACATTTTCCAACGTTTGTGTACAAATCTTGCATTTCAGATTACTGATATCTATTTTCATCAAATTATGTCTCAGGCCGTAGAATACATTCTTTTTATCAGGATTAATATGATATTTATCACTATGTTCTCTTAATTCAAAAAGACTTTCAAACTTTTTATGGCAATAGGCGCATAGTACTTGATTATATCTGGTTTTGAATGGATACGCTGTGGAATGGTCCAATATAAGTTCTGCATTTTTTCGCTGCGGTATGGAGTAGAAAAAAATTACTTTCTTTTTTTCCGAACCCTCGTGCCTGCTTGTTGATCTCGCCCCTAAAAACAGAAAAATCATTCAAGTGCTAAAATTCTTCTAGTTTTAAAAAGGGAAACTAAAAAACAAAAAAAAATCAAAACTTTCCTACAAATTTGTCTAATCGATCCTGACATGGTCATCGTTTTCTGATTCCAGCAAAGCAAGAAACCATTTCGATGGCTCCTGCGTAGACTATTGTAAGTCACAATTTTGCGTTTTACACATTGTGTTGTTTTCAAATGAACTTGTTTTCTGTTGTCCCTAGAAAGTAAGGTTAGAAAGAATTGTCGTTTTTGATATTCTATCGTATGTTCATAATCGTAATTACTCGTATTTATGTATCATTTACGTAGGAGTCATGGATTTACAATAAAATAACATTTTTCGAATACTCATCATTTTTATTTAGTATATTTTATTATGTAATTATACATTACAATACAATTATACAAAGCTAAGAATGATAAATTAGAAATGAGATCAATTAAATTAATTTGGTAGCTAACCAGTCACACTTTTAAAGAGTTTATTTTCTTCTCCTTGGTTAATTTTTACTTAAGTTCCCTTCTCATTGTTATATAATCTTTGGTACAGAATAGTAAAAACTATGGAGTCGTTTCATATGTTTTATTAGAGACGCTTTTAACATGTACCCATTATTGCAATATGCACAAACAAATTCCTTGCTACCGGTATGCACACGCTTGTGATATTTCAATTTGGACGCTATTTCAAAGCACTTAGAGCATATTTCACACTTATACTTCTCTGTGTGATATTTAGTTTTGTGTTCAGTTAACGCTCGTCGGGTGTCAAAGTTAGCGTTACAAATACTACAAGAAAATGATTTTACTATGCCATGAACAATTTTTAAATGCAACATCTTCGTATGGTGTTCTTTAAATTTATCAGAACAATGCTCGCATGTTCTTCTTTTACCCCCTCCTTTGTGGACTATTGACGTATGGTACTTCAACTGACCGTATTTAGAAAAGACTTTATCGCACGATTTACACGATAGCTTTTTATTTATATGCTTTTCCATATGGCTTGATAGATAATACTGGTTTATAAAACTAACGCCACAAGATTCGCAAACTACCCTCCCCGTGTGGGAGTTCATATGACTTTTTAGTTGAACAAACTCGTGGTAGGTATTCATACAAATATGGCAGGTTAAAAGTCCATTTTTAATTGACAAGTTGTATTCAGTCAAACCATTCTCACCAACAAGAAATGTTTTATTATGATCATTTTCTAAATGTCGTTTTATAGTATTAATATCGGGATATTTCTTCAAACAGAGTCTACATTTTAATATCGATATATCTACCAAAACCATACGCTTTCCGTTCATAATATACTTATTCAAGATCACATCTTTGTCTTCTACTGAATGTGTTAAGATGTGCTCGAGTAAATCTGTTAATTCAGAACAATATTTTTTACAGTAGAAACATTTTAATGTGGCACCCATGTGTGTAAATGGCCTGGCAGTTGTTAAATGAAGCAAGGATGCTGCGTTATTTCTTTCAGCTACCGTCATATGCCATATCCCAGTTGGCAAAGCGCGGCCAGCGTCTGCGGAAGAATAGTATTTTTAAACGTTGACATCATCGTAACCTTGGACATAACCTCTACATTACTAATGCCACTATCATTTTACATACTCAACTTTTCTTACGCTCTTCTAGCTGTTTTAAAACTAACTTCACGACCTTGAGTCGTTTAAATCACGAGTCAAAACACTGTTTACTTAATGAATATTCACTTTTAACCGTTACTGACTAGATTAAAATAAAAATACACTTCTAATTTTACAATCAAAACGACGCTCTGTTCTTTCTCCTGTCGTATTCAATTTCACGCAAAAAAAAGTAGACACAGGGAACTATTTAACCAACATTATAGTCTAGCAAGCATGGACGATGCCAATCTTTCATATGTTTGTTAAAATCGTCTCTATTAGAAAAGCAGCTGCTGCAATCGGAACAGACAAACTTATCTCGTGTATGAACTTGTGAGTGTTGTTTGAGACTCTTCTGGTGTCGATAAGTTTTATTACAGATTTCACATACAAAGTTTCTTTCACCTGTATGTGACACCATATGCTTCTTCAGCGTTGTTACGCAACTGAAACTCTTCTTGCACACTTCGCATTGCGTTTTTAACGTATGATATTTATTTGAATGCATCGTTAACGATCTACGAGTCGGAAATATTAACTTGCATATCTCACATTCGAATGAAAACGTTATCCCGTGAACTTCTTTTAGATGTTTCAACTTTCGAAAATGTTCGGTAAATCTCTCCGAGCAATGTGTACAGCGTAACATACGCAGTTTAGTTCCACCTTGATGATTCTTCTCAATATGGTATTTCAAATTAGATGTTGTTGTGTACACTTTATTGCATTTAGTACAAGGATATCCACCTGGGGAATGTATCTCTATGTGCTGCAAAAGACGTTGATGAGTTAAAAACCCAGCACCACAAGTTTCGCAGACCGCGTTACAAAAATGAACATTCAAATGTCGATTTAAAAGGATGAAAGTTTGAAAGATTTTATCGCAGACGTGACACGAGAATTGTCCATTCTTGAGTGTCAAATTGTAAGCTATAACTCCGTTACCGGAAGGCGTGAAAGTAACATTATGTTCTGATAGATGTTCCCGTATTTTATTAACATCTGTGAATATTCCTTCGCATATTTTGCATTTGAGGTTAGCTATATCAACTTTGACTGTACGTTTGCCTTTGGGAATTAATTCTTTTAATATCGTAGCTTTATCGGGCGTTTTATGAGTAATGGTATGTTCTAGAAGATTGTTGATATCAGAATATTGCTTCTGACAGAAGAAACATTTAAAATAATATCGGCAGTAGACGAAAGGTGTGATTGTCGTGTTTTCCAAGAGCGTTGCTGCATTTTGACGCTCTGATATCGTCAATTCCCAGATGCCGGTAATCTCACTTTTCCTGCTGCCCGTTTGGATTCCTGAGGAGGAAACATTTACAATTTTATCTATTTACTTCTGATTCCTCGGTGATAACGTTTATAGTCACTTTATTAATATTTCCATTTTAGTTAATAAATTGATTCAAGATACCAATTTTGTTTTATTAATTTGAATGCAATGTGCATATAAAAACGGTGATCAAGTCAATACGAAAACATTTACTTAAATAAAACACGCATTTGCTAATTTCGACAACCTAAGTATAAAGAGAAGTTTATGAGAGAATTGGAAAAAAGTCAGAGATTTCTAAATGTTTTGAAAACAATTACGAGGTGGGTAGAATTTTTATTTTTTGTTATTGAAACAAGTAATCATAATAAAAATGTTACATTAAAGTTCTATCTAACTGTACTAATTGACAATTGCGGTAACATTCTTTATGCTGTTCTGTTGATATTGTGGATGCCAGTGCTTCATATGTTTATTGTAATCATTGCGATTGTGGAAACCACTCCCGCACTCTGGACATAGGAACTTCCATACAGGACCGTGGACTCTCATATGCTGTCTCAGTGTTCTCTCATGCATGTACGCCTTCTGACAAATGGTACAGAAGAAGTTCCTCTCTCCTGTATGACCGCGTGCATGCATCTTCAACAAAGATCGTGTCCCGAAACATTTGCCGCAAACTTTGCATTGTATTTCCTGTGTATGCAGCTTCGTTGTGTGTTCTGTCAATGCACGACGCATCGGAAATACCGCTTTGCATATTTGACATTCAAATTTAAAACTGATACCGTGGACGTCCTTTAAATGCGTCATCTTTCGATAGTGTTCCGAGAATCTTTCCAAACAGTGTGGACACTTTAGTGGCTTCATCTTCTTTGTGTTTGATACTTCATGCTTCTTAAATATATGGTAACGTAGTTTCAATTTTGTTGGGAATACGTCTTGACAGTTGTCGCATTTGTGGACACCGTTTTGGTGTACGATGCGATGGTTGAATAATCGTTGGTGCGACATGAAGCCGAGACCACAAGTTTCACAGACAACAGTCATGTGCACATTCATATGCCGATTCAAGAGGAAAAATGAATTGAAAGTCTTGTTGCATTTGTGACAGGATAGAAGTCCGTTAAAAACACTCAAGTTGTAAGCCATAAGTCCATTACCCGCTGAGTTGAAATCCTTTTTATGTGCAACTATAAGATGTGTTCTAATTTCGTCCAAATCTGAATACTTCTGTTCGCAAATCTTACATTTCAATTCCGATATGTCAGCTTTTATAACCCTTTTTCCTTTCCGAAGGTATTGTTTCAGTAGATTACTTCTATCAGGCGCTACGTGAAACTTTGTGTGTTGCAACACTGAGTTTATCTCTGGGAATACTTCATTGCAATAGAAACATTTGAAATTAGCTTGCTGATAAAAGAACGGCTTCGCAGTAGTGAACTCTAGGAATGTTGCCGCATTTTGCCTTTCCGATATTGTCATTTGCCATATACTCGTCTTCGGTCCTTGCTGCTTTGCCATTATCCCTGGGAAAGATAAAAGTTTGTCTCTTAAAGTATTTGCTGTTTAAATTATGATTAACTCTTCTAACTAAACCGGGCTTTCTGTGCATGCCTTTAGGTGATTAATTACATATTTTTTTAATAAGAGAAGGGGCAAACGAGCAAAACATCAAGACGTTCAACGACGCCCATGGATATCCGCAATACCAGAGGAACTACAGATGCGTTGCCGGCCTTTGAAGTGATATGCTTTTTGATGGACGTGAAGTCGTAGTGGAAATACTGCCGAAGACGTCTGTCTTCGCGTTTCATGAACGCGGCTATTCGAGGAAGAAAGTTCCGAGAAAACCGCATAGTTGTGGATTGCGAGACAGCAAGATGGTTTGGATAATGCCTGGCGGTCTGTCGAGTCGTCCAATGACGGAACTCGGCGGTAGGCATTCCAAACAATTCTTCAGAGCACTCCCCATGGTATATTCGGTAGAAGTTATAATCATCACCAGCTCTCTATATGTCCCCACCGAGGGGCTCGGTGCCTACCCTAAGTTAGGGCGACTAGGCCATAGTCAACCACGCTGGCCCACTGCGGGTTGGTTGACTTCACACATATCTTTGAATTTCTTCGCCGATATGTGCAGGTTGCATCACGGTGTTTTCCATCGCCGTAAGAAGTTATAAGTATAATTCAAATAAGGTATGTTTTTTAATGAATATATCTTTTACAATTACTGACAAGTATTTAGACATTATGTTTTGAACTCATATGTTCCATTAAGCTGGACTGATCATTAAAAATAAGACTGCATACAGAACAAGTAGGCGGAAGTAGATGTGATCTCGCGTGTTCTAGAAGATTCTTTTTTCTAGCATAAGCTTGTCCACAAATATCGCATTTGAAATTTCGCTCACTACTGTGTGTAATCATATGCCGCGTCAGAATGGACTTTGAGAAGAATCTGAAATGACAGACATCGCATTCCACGTTCCGTTCCTGCATATGTACGGATCTCTTGTGTAGATCCATTTGGTACTTCAAATAGAAATGTCTCCCACATATATCGCATTTGTGTCTCGTTGCTTGATCGTGGAAGATTCTTAAATGTTTATTTCGTGCATAATTTGAGTTAAATCTCTCAGGGCAGAAAGGACAAGTTCTTACTGATTGTTTTAAATGCACCGATTTAATATGATTTATTCTTTTCGCTGAATTGGTGAATACTTTGTTGCATTTATCGCAAGGAAAGCTACCCCCTTTATGTACTTGTAAATGTCTTTGTAGTAGTATTTTAGATACGAACACATTTCCGCATATTTCACAACTGTAGTTGTTGAAATGTTTACTCATGTGGATAATTAGTAGACGAAATAAATGGTAACTTTCTCCGCAAATTTGACAATCGTATGTATCACCACCTAATTTAAATGGTATTATATTATCTTGGAATGACGGGTCTATATCTTTTCCATGTTCTTTAAGATGAACCTTCAAGTTATCTAGACTATAGAGGGTAGTTTCACAAAGTTTACATTGTGGTTGTTTGACGTCTACTTTTAAAGTATTGTCTGAAAATTTCTTGTTCAATTCCAGCGTTATATCTTCAATACTATGGTTGTATAGAGAATGTTCTCTTAGTATTTCTGAATCTAAAAACTCTTCAGAGCATGTATAACATTTAAATTTATTGTATGCGTATATAAACGGGTAGACATATGAAAACTCAAACAATGTTAATGCATTTTGTATCCTTATATGAGATTCTGTATTTTTTTTCTTTCGTGATGTACTTGTTTTTGTTCTTAACTTTCGGTTTCGCAATGATATTCGAGTTCCATTCCCGATATTATTTATAGAGATTGGCTCCTTTAGGAATATTAATGTTGAAGATTTTTGTTTAAAAATTTGCTGTTCGTTTTTTTCAGGCGTTTTAATACTATTCTCATGTTCATCAAGGGGCATATCTATTTCTTCGTTTTCAATAATCAAATTATCAATAGATATAGGTTCCTTAAGGATTGTTAATTTAATATCCGATCCATCTTCATCTTTCAGTATCATTGATGAGTTTGTAACATGGATGACTCCTAGAAAAGAACGAACAGGTATTTTTATATGTAATTCCAAATTGATTTCCTTAATTTTAGAAATAAAAATAACTAAATGCTTCAAATTCAGTTTATTTCACATTAAAATGTCATATAAAATATTACCTCTAAATTATTAACATACGAGAGATCTGTTTGCATTTTCAAAACTTAATTTCTACATTGTACCATACTTAAAATAGTACTGAAAGGTTTATCAGTTCAAACTAAAACAATTTCAGTTTCTATTTCATAGAGGAATGCGTGAGGTCAGAATTCTTCTACTAAAAGCGCAATTATTTGCCGTAATTATGAGAGTTAATTTTTTTTTTTTAATATAATATGACAAACGAGCAATGAGACGACAGAATTCGTCAAAAGAGCAAAGCGACCGCTGCCTAGACATCTACATTTGCAGATGCGTTGCGTACAGAAAGAAGATATTTCCCCTACTTGTGCTTCTCATTCCCTGCTATATCTTCCCCATCACATCTCTGTACAAATTGGTTAGAAAGGGGAAGTCGAGTGTAATTGAGAACAGAGGCCTAGGAAACTGGCGTGTCTATAAAAACCGCACGGTTGACTATAGCCATCCATAGATATTGTTTGAAAAGTAATTAAAACTGGTTTAAAGCTTTCAGAGTAGCTTAGTCTGTAAAGAATTCCAACATCATCGTCCTTATCCTACTCCCGTTGGCGCAACAGGTTTTTGTCCTCAACATAACTCTACCATACGTCATCTGAGTCACTCCATTTTGATCATGTCACCTTTTACGCAATCCATCACTTTTTAGGTCTATCTCTACCGGTGTCCCCCCACACTCATAACGTTCTCAAAATAATTGTACTTCATATTTTTATCGAAAATATAAATTTAGTTTAAAGGACTTCATGTACACGTAAATGATCTCTTAAATTTTTCCTACGCAGAAACGCTTCACCGCACATTTCACATTTATAATTCTTTTCTCCTGTATGTATCACCATGTGTCGCTTTAACGTCTCTTTGTTGCAGAACCTCTGCAGACAGATTTTACACTGGTGATTCCTCTCTTGTAAGTGCACTGATCTCGTATGACAAACTAAATGATATTTGAGATTAAAACCACGACCACAAGTCTCGCATTTATGTACCCGAGTCGATTGATTGTGGACGTCTTGCAAATGTTTCGTACGTCTATAGTTCGAGTTAAATCTTTCCGGGCACATCGGACATCTCCGGGGATACTGCTTAAGATGAACCCCTCTTATATGCAGCGACAGTTTGTAAGATGTGTTAAAAATTTTGCTGCAACGGTCACAATGGAAACTACCACTCTCGTGAACCTCTAAATGTTTCTTTAACAAACGCAACGTCATGAACGCGGAACCACAAATTTCACAACTGTAGTTATTAAAATGAACACTCATATGAATCACTAGAGTCCGTACTTTTATGAATTTTGATTCGCACATCACACACTTATACCCTTCTTCATCACCTTCTAGCACGAATGGGATAATATTATCTTTTAATTCTGGTTCAATTAACTTGTCATGTTCAACTTTTAAATGTATTTTAAGCTCCTGCAAGTCCTTAGGTTTTAAGTGACATAATTTACAACTCATTTCGCTGACATCTACTTTGATGACGTTCTCCCTACGATTGTTTACCAAACGTTTTATCGGTGCATATGTATGTGTGTCGTTCATATGACGTCGTAGAAGTGCTGTTTCTAGAAACGGTTGCGAGCAAATGAAACATTTAAATTTATTATTGCCATAGACGAAAGGATATACGGTTGTGAATTCGAACAGAGTGAGTGCGTTTTGTCGGTTATCGACATTTTGTTGAGGTATTTGAACTTGTAGGTGTGGAATGTCTATTCTGTAATGCTGGATTTCTGGTGTAGATGTTCCTTCCATGTATATAGGTGAAGGGCTCCGGGACGCGAGGTCATTGCAGCTCAGCTGGGCCATTTTAAATAGTTTCTTAAAATTTGTAACTGTGCCCAGGGGCTTACAGAGGCTACGGTCGTAATCCACTTGGAACAACGGCACGATCCTTTTTGTGTCTTGTATACTGTCCGATCCTAAAAACAAACAAATCGTATGAAGATGTCTCCTTATACGTTCGGGTGTGTATTAACTCTATGACTATACTCCTTGTTCTTGTAACTTCGTGTCCCAACAACGTGATAAAATCATAAAATAAAACGATTTCCTATGAATTCAAATTTATTGATCCATTGAAAAAAGTACATCAATATTAGAATAAAGGCTGTTTTCATATCCAATAAAATCATTAGAATAAAATCCTACTAGATTTAATTTATTCTTTGACCGTCACCATTAGTATACCGATGTATGGAAAGGTTAAAGTGGAAAGTTAACCAATAAAGGAGGTAAGAATAGTTAAGAGAATTTAGTTTAAGTCATCCTATAACATAATTTAAAATCTCGGACTGTCTACTCCATTTATTTATCAAAAACTATAGTGCGATAAAATTTCAAATCATATCTTACTAATATTATAAATGTGAAAGTTTAGATGGATGGATGTCTGTTAGCGTTCGTAGCATAAACGGCTGAACGGATCTCCATGGAATTTGGCACAGGTTTAGAGCATAGTCTGGAAGAACATATAGGCTACATTTTATTCCGACAATAGTTACGGTTCCCGTGGATTCATTAATTTATTTTTTTAACGTTTACTCGATAATTCTACAACGGTTCAACATAGCTTATTGAAATTTGTCACAGTCAAAAAAACAAAGTCTGGAGTACACATGGGATAAGGTTCATCCTCGAAAAATGTCCGGTTCCAGAGAGATACGTAGTTTTTTGTTGTTTACATAGTCCGTATGTTTTTTAATACCACGCGGACGAGATCGCGGGCAACGGCTAGTTCATTTATAACTACAAGAAGAGACGTGATCTTTGTCCATCATTTCATCCTGAAATGAAGGATCCATTTTCACAATCGCCGTCGGATGATGAACTTTTATATGATGTTTTAAGCTGCAATTCTGAACAAAAGATCTTCCACATTCAGCACATGCGTAACGTCTATCGTTGTCATGTATCCGCATGTGTTCTGTTAACGTATATTTCCTTGCATATGCTTTCTTGCATACATTACATTGGTACTTCCTTTCACCACCGTGCTTGATCATGTGGAACTTCAACTCAGATTTGGAGTAGAATTTCCAATCGCAAACTTCACACGTATATCTCTTCATCTTCAAATGAACGGTTCTGAAATGTACCCTGAGTTTCCCGCTCAAATTAAACACTCTAGGACACAAGTCGCATTTGAATTCTTTCAAAGTCATTCCGTGGACTGACGAGATGTGTTTGTTCCGCTGAAAGTAATTACGAAAACCCTCGTGGCATTCTGGACATCTGTGTCGTTTACATTTCTTATGTATGTTAGCGAAATGCTCTGTTCTCGCTGTGTTCGAGCGGAATACTTTATGACACTCCTCGCATGGGAACGAACCGTTGACGTGGATAACTGAATGTGCACGTAATCTGTCTGGTGTGATGAAGCCAGAGCCACACTGTTCGCAAATATAGTTCTGAAAATGGACGTTCATATGATGGTTCAACGTTTTAAAAGTTTCGAACTTTGTACTGCACAAAATGCAAACGAAATTATCCTTCGATATCTTGAAGGGCAAGATACCATCGTTTGAATTAACATAAACATCGTGTCGATCCATTAAGTGATACTTCAGAGTTGGAATATCGTTCAAAACATGATTGCAAATTTTACAACTGACATTTGTCAATTCAACTTTGACGAATTCGTGTTTCTTTTGTTTGGACATCTCGTGTTCTATCTGAGATAAAGGTGGCGTCGAATGTTCGAGATTGTTATGTTCCCTCAAGGAGTCTGGATCTAAAAATTGCTGATCGCAATAGAAACAAATGAATAAATTTTTCATCCATCTAAACGGACACAATTTCGCCGATTCCAATATTAAAGTTGAGTTTTTCTTCCTCTCCTTTAGTATTTCCGGGTTAAGTATAATATTGCGTCTCTTTTTCTTTTGGAGTCCCGTATTATCCTGGTCCTGTAGTTCCTCACACGGAGATTCACTACCTATAAATGAGAAAATATTCGTGTGAACTTAAACCTCAACATATTAACACAAATCTAGATTAATGTCTTATCTGGTAACTCAGTTGAACTAGAAAATCTCTTGTTGTTGCGTTGAGTATATTGTTGGAACTGTAACTTCGAAACTCGTAAACACTAAACCGGTTTATAGCCTAATATCAGCGGTTATCGATCCGACTTCAATACCAGAAAGGTTATCATATTTTAAATACCATAATTGTTGTTACAGTAGATTACAAAATATTTCATCAAGTAAAAAGTTCTCTCCAGTTTAATGTACAATGGCTAATCGCAAATGATTAGAAATAGGGCTTAAAATGCTTCAAATATATTGCATATTGCGTGAGTATTAGTTAAAAAAAAAACATGCAACATAAAATTTATTGATACATTTATTTCATTCTATTAAAATAGGAAATAGAATCAAGTTTAAATAAGATATAGCCTCTAATCCTACTTGAATTGACTAGAAGGAATCAATAATTTAAAATACATCGGATTTAGTTTGATTAGGATGGTGTACTCGGATGTGCTGTTTTAAACTACAATTCTGTATGAACGCTTGCCCACACACGGGACAAACAAAACGCCTATCATTATTATGTATTCGCATATGTTCTCGTAACGTCTTCAACCGGGCGTAAGATTTCTTGCAGACATCGCACTGGTATATCCTCTCTCCGCCGTGCTTGATCGAATGTTCTTGGAGTTCGTATTTAGTAAAGAACTTCATAAAGCACAATGGACAGGAGTGGTTGCGCTCTTGGAGGTGTTGGAACCGTATATGAGCTGTTCGTCTGCTGCACAGATCGAAAACCCGAGGACAGGACGGACAGGGGAATATCGCTGTTTTCTCTCCGTGAATCTCATTGAGGTGTTTCAAACGATGCTTGTAGGAGGCGAATTTTTCATCACAAATCGGACATTTGTATCTCTTATTCGATCTATGAATCTTAGCTATGTGCGCGTAAAGAGACGCGTAAGAAGGGAATGTATCTTGACAACGCTTGCATGGGAAGTCACCTCGCTCGTGTGTTCTGGCGTGATTGACCATCCGCTGTGATGTCGCAAAACGTTTCCCGCACGTCTCGCATATAAAGTGCTCGTAATGTTCATTCATATGTTTATGAAGACTTAGGAACATCTCGTATCGTTTACCGCATATTTGACAGCGATGTTCGTCTTTAGTCAAATTGTACGGCAGTATGCTATCACCGTAGGAGCAGTCTAGATGTATACCGTGGTCTCGTAAATGAGATTTGAGCATTTCGTAATCAGCAATTGAGAGGCCGCATAGTTTGCATGTGGTGAACGCAAAGTCCATTTTCAAAGGTTCGTACTTGCGCGGCTTGAGCAGCTGTTTGACGTCGGAATGTTGCTGTCGAGTGTGGTCGCGCAGACGTTCCGGTTCCAAGAAGGAGGTCTTGCAGAAGAAGCAGAGGTAAGTGCCCTTTCTGTACTTGAACGGGCAAGCGGTGCACGACTCTATGATAAGTTTAATGTTATTTCGGAATGCGGCACGACGCTCGTTTCCCGCGTCCCGGCCTGTCACTAAGACAGCCGCTCCTATATTTTCCATGTCAGATTCCATTTCTTTCTTTATCTGTATATCTTCAGATTTTCTTCCTAAAAATAAGAAAACATCCGATATAAGCTCTTCCTTGCAATGTTCTTTCTTTTACTTAAAATTATAATTTCTCATACCTGTATCATATTAAGCAACGTTAAAAGTTATTTGGGTTATTCAAATAAATTATAACAGAAGATTGATTTTTAATTTATTTTAAACATGTTGATCGTCTTTAGTTTCAGATACGGCCGTCGGATGGTGTGTTCTAATGTGGCTCTTCATGGTGCACTTCTGCACGAAAGTGCTGGTGCAAAACTCGCAGGAGAAGCGCCTATCGTTAATATGGATACGCATGTGTTCACGTAGCGTCTTGATTCTGGCATAAGACCTACTGCATACGTCGCACTGAAACTTCCTTGTACCATCGTGCTTCACAGCGTGGTTCCTCATCAACGCCGCCGTCGAAGATCTATACGGGCACACGGGGCATTGAAACGGTTTAACTTTCAAATGAACATACTGTATATGTCTTGTCCGCTGATTGAATGAATTGAACACCGACGGACATAGGTGACATGCGTGCTCACGTTTTTTATTGTGGAATTTTAGGAGATGTTTTTGCCTCTCGTTGTATTCTTTAAATTTTTCTTTGCAGTAGATGCACCTATATCTTAATTTGGGCTTGTGAACTGTCGACATGTGGTTAGCCCTAAGCCTGAGGTTCTCGAAAGTTTCGCCGCATTTTGTACACTTGCACCCTTCCCCTATCAACTCGTGTGTGACCAGATGCGACTTGAGTCTTATCGCGCCAGAAAAAGTCTTGCCGCATTTATAGCATATATAATCTGTAGAATGACTATTCATATGAGAATTTAGTTTCGTAAACAGAACAAATTGTTCACCGCATTTAGTGCAGATGTACTCATCACCGTTGAGGTAAAACGGTGTGATACCTACGCCGTATTCTTTAACTATGGGCTTTTTGTGAACATCAATTAAATGCTCGACAAGTTGTTCTAGATCTTCAGATTTCTCTGAACATAATTCACACTGAAGATCAGTGACCTCTGCTTTTGTGGAGTTGACGGGACGCGATAATATCACCGCCTCTTCCTTTTTCGAATGTTTTGCTACATGCTCTCTAAAACCTTTAAAGTCTCCAAATGACGTGGGACAGTAAGCACAAATAAATTGTCCCCATCTCCACCTAAAGGGGCACACGTTGGAACACTCTATAATAATAGCAGCGTTATCTCTGACATCGTTGAGCTTGCGCCCCGTTTTCAATTTAACATTGCTATCCTTGGCTCCTAAAAACAAAAGAAAATTTTCTATTAAACCGTCGAACCGCGTACTTGAAATCTTATTACCTATTCGGAGCAATATATTATATTAGTCGTGCCCAATTATGGTTTGCCAACTATTGTCATGCAATGATTTGATTAGATCATGACCAGAATCAAATGACAGATGAGTACCACCAATCTTACATATGAATAGGCAATCCTTATTTTTTTCATGATGTATTTTGAACGGCGAAGTAATGCCAGTAGGTAAAGTAATTGGATTTAAATTTTCAAAAGGAGATGAGTATAAAAATTACGTTTCCTTGTGTATAAATTTATTTATATAATAAAAATTAATATCTAAACGTCACTCTGCAATGAGTACAATTTTCATATCTACGAGTATAATTAATACTATGATATTCTTTTAATCAAATAATTTAAATTACAGATACAATATTTTTTACCATAAAAACTGTCTATTTTTGTGCGATTTTTTTATTTCACAATCAGGCGGTTCTAAACAAAATGTTCGCTTAATTCGAGAACATAAAAGATTCAACACTAAGTTTTCATTCTGTGCACAATCTTCATATGAGAATACCTTAAACCTGCACAGCGAAATACGCACGAGCACAAATTACATTTATACTCTGCCTTTTGTCCATGCGTCTTATCCAAGTGTTTCAAGCGAGAATAATACGATGAGAATTGTTCATTACAGATGGGACATCTGTACCTTTCCTTTGAACCGTGAACCTTAGAGACATGTTGGTCTCTCGCCACTCGACTCGCTAACACCGTTTCGCATTTAGGACATCGAAATTCACCGGATTCGTGATATTTCTGATGTGATTGCAGTTTATGCTTGCTCGAATACCCTTTGCCACAAGTATAGCAAACGTAGTCAGAGTAATGTTCATTCATATGCGAAAATAATGCCATCAGAGTCTCAAAGTGTTTATCACAAGCCACACATGAATACTTCTCATTTGTCAGCACAAAAGGCACCAAACTAATACTGTTTGAATTAAAAGTTTTCTTGTGTACATCTGATAGATGAGTCTTCAAAGCTTCTAAATTTGCAGCCTTCTCATTACAAATTATACAACAAAGATCTGTTATATCCACTCGTAGTGGATACTTGTTGCGTACTTCTGGATTATAAAAGAATACATCAAGCTTGTTTTTATGGTCCTCCGAGTGAAGACGGATTTCTCTGACACTTGTGTAGGTACATGGGCAGTAGGCACACATGAATTTTCCCCGATTCCATCTAAACACTACTGTATTCGAATGTTCTAGAATAATAGCTGCATTGACATTCTCTTCTGCCAGCTTCCTTTTTCTGCTCCATTTAACACTATCGGTCGATGTACTTTGTGAGGCACTATTTTCTTCGTCTCCTAAAAATAAAAACACTGTAAGTTGTATAGTTTCAACAATTCTTTGTGCAATATTGTGCTTGTCCGACGACATCGTGGGCTCGTAAGTGGCGCCGGAGTTTCGATTGACTAACAAAGTGCCAAGGGCAGTACAAGCATTCGTAACGCTTCTCTACAGATTTGTGGGAGAGACGGAAATGGGCCGCGCGTTTGCAACTCGTTTCAAAAGCTTTACCGCATGTCGTGCATTCATAAATTCTCCTTTGTTGTGCGTGGCTGTCGACCAAATGTTTTGCTCTAGCATAGTAGGTAGTAAAGACTTCGGGACAGCGCGGACAAGCGTACCGCACGCCGCTCTTGTGGACTTTTAATCTATGACACATTCTAGCCGCTCTAGTTGGAAGAACTTCGTCACAATCCCCGCAAGGAAAATTGCCAATTTCGTGCGACTGCACGTGGGTTCTGAACCTGGATTTGGAGACGAAAGCCTTACCGCAAGTGTCGCAAATATAATTTTGGTAATGAGAATTCATATGCTCGTTTATTTTAGAGAAACTTGTGAAGAACTCAAAACATATTTGACAGTTAAATCCTGCCTGATCTAGTTTGAAAGGTAGAACACCATCGCTATAATTCTTGTTAAATATCTTTTTATGTGCAATTGTTAGATGATTCTTAAGTATATCTAGGTTGGAACAAACACAATTACAAAGCCTACAGTTTAAACTCGTTATGTCTATTTTGAGCATGTTATTTTCTGTCAGTTTTGCAAATACCCTCACTGTTGGGGGTTCATTTAAATGGGAACTGATTACATGTTCTCGCAGAGGCAGAGTATCGACAAATTTCTCATCGCAATAAGAACAATAGAAAGAGCTATGGAACCATCTAAAGGCCCAAGCGGTGGAACATTCTAGAATCATGATCGCGTTCCTTCTCATCATAGTTTTCACGATCCGCCTGTCGGACTCTTCGGGTAGTTCATTATTAGCGCGCCGGCGCCTGCGCATCTGTCTTGCGCTTACGTTCATTTTTAACTTCCTAACAGGCTTAACTACCTCGTTTGCCGTCTCGTCCGCAATAGCGGAACCTAAAAACAAAACGATTTCAAATTACTAACTCGAATATGCAACAGCAACCCATCCCTATGTTACACTTATAACCTCTGTTTATACCTAACAGTCGTTTGTTTTAAATATTACAAGGTGGCAAACGTGCAAGCAGACGAACCGTGGATTTATTTCCATTTTACGTCTATCTTCTGTGTTATGTTATAGCACTAAGCGAGCCGTTCGTTCGCCAATTCGTTCAATACATTTTAGTGTTGCGGGCGTCTACCACAATAGTCTTACAAACTCTGTAGGCCTAACCACAAAAAATTAGACAGCGTTTCAAATACGTTTCAGCTTAAACCTATCCGGCGCAAATTTTTTAACAGATCAAGCTTATTGAAACATTATTACTCTTAGACTTAAGTAATGCGATTTTGAGATATTTCTCAATTATACCGAAAGCAATTTGATAAACATTTATGAAAAATATAACCACATTGATGTTTATATTACCAATCAGTGGCAGTCAAAATTAAACACGTATTTAACTGAAGTTTCCAGCTATATTTTTGGTGTATGTAAAGAAAATGTAATTGTGTTATAGAGAAAGATGTATTCATTCCTAAAAATCAAAGCTACATTGATTCCCTACGGACGGGTTTGTATAAAATAATCACATTTATTACAAAAGCTTTGTAAGGAACTTGACAATGGGCGCGACAGAGTATACAACGCTTTTATAAGACACCCGAAGCTGTTTCGGATAAAAACCGAATTTAAAAGTAATAATACTAACGATTATGGTAGTATATTGACCGAAATTCAGGTAATCTTATTAGTTGTGAGGGCATTTAGTTCATTTAGATCAGGTTGATGGATACGCGCGTGGTCCAACAGTTGCGAGCGTTGCTTGAAGAGAGACCCGCACAGCTTGCAGGTCAGGTCCTCATGGCTTCTAAGGTGCATTTGCAACGTCTTACTCCTCGGATAGCTTTTGCCACAGACCGTGCAAGAGTAATTCCTTTCACCGGTATGCTTCACCATGTGTTTCTTCAAGTCGGATCTAGTTTTAAAAAGCCAGTCGCAGTGGGGACATGGAAAAGTCCGCTGTTGAGGCAGGTGTACCAAACGGACATGCGCCCCACGTTTGCCACTTGTGCTGAACGATAACTCACAGACGCTACATTTGTATGAAACCAACTTTTCCTTGTGGACCTCGTTTAAGTGGTTCATCCTGTGGTAATAGGTTTTGAAGCGGATATTACAATGGGGGCAGCCGTAGCGTGGTCCTTTAGAGTGGACCTGTGCTTTGTGGTGGTCTCTGGCTGCGCGCATCATGAAGACTCGAGAGCATTTGTCGCAGGGAAAGGATCCGGTAACGTGAACTTCGGAATGTTTCCTGAGGCGCATCGCCGTCATATACCCCTTGCCGCAAGTGGAGCAGATGTAGTGCTGGTAATGAACGTTCATGTGTTCATACAGTTTGAGGAAGTTGTTGAAGGACTCACTACAAATGACGCACCGCCAGTCCTCCTTATCCAATCTGAACGGTAACACGCCGTCTGGCTGCGCATTATCCAACTTGTAACCGTGTTGGATAGCGTGCTGCCGCATGTGGGGGACATTGGAGTAAGGACATCTGCACACTCGACATGTGGCATCAGTCACATCTACATTGATGAGGGACATTTCTTTATAATTGCTATAAATATCTTTAAGGCTATGTTTGGGCGCGCACTGGGCGACATGCGCTCTTAGCTCGGCGCACTGTAGGAAGGCTTCCTCGCAGTACGCGCATTTGAATCGACTCCAATGCCACGTAAAGGGGCAAAGCGACCAACATTCTAATAGAGCATTGGCGTTTCCCTTTGTAGCAATCCTAGCTTCCGCTCTAGCACTTCTGGCGTAGCGTTTTTCATTGGATTTTATTTTATCGATACTTGTTGTTCCGACTAGTTCTTGACATCCTAAAAATAGAAAAGTTTCATTTGAACTCGTCTCATTCCTTTTTGTTTATGTTCTTTATTCTTTTGATAACAAAGAGAAATTAATTACGATAAGATGTTGCAAACAGGTCACCTGTTCGAGTACTTGAAGATAAAACATAAACGTCTTGTAAATAAGCGTGTTCGAGATATTTTATTTATATTGTTGCAACAATAAAGACTTTCTTGGATATTCAAACGATTCAGACTTACGCACGTATTTAAGTTAACATACATTTTACATTATAAGATTTTGGAATTTACCATTTCAGTGATCTTTTTCATCTAAGTGAAGTTTGTCCTTGTGTACATAAAATAAATCAAACAAATTTATACAAAATTATTTAATTTCTTAACCTCATTTATGCTTACATAATAAATAATACTTTTCGATACATTTAGTCAAGTTTTAAAATAAATGCATTTCTGTTTGTCGCGTTTACAATCTATGTATTTCAAAACATGACACTATTATGAAAATATGACGATGAGATTCATCTATCCTCGAATAAATACATTTTAATAACACATACATTTCAATTACTGCAATAAATAAAACATTCAATTCCAATTACAGAGAAAAAATCACCTTGTAATAAAAAAACACCATTCGTGTTTAAACGAAGGAAATCAGTATATTTAACTTCAAATAGACTAGAAAAGATTTCAATTATAAGAGAGAAGCTTAAAACCGGTTCAAAGCAATCGAGTACAAGAACTATAAGATGTGAAAATGTTTCTTAGCCATATGTTTGTCTAAAGATAACTTCGACGCGAAAGCCCTAGAGCAATGTCCGCAAGGAAATCCAAATTCAGTTTCCATTTTGGTGCGATGAGTTTTAACATTATGATGATATTTCTGGGACCTCGTTTTGAAATTCATATGACAAGTCGTGCATTCGTACATCTCAGTCCTCGGCTTGAAGTTATGAAACTCCATAAGATGTCGCTTACGCAGTTCCCATGTACCGAACCTTGGCTTATCTTTACAGTACACGCACATATACGGTAAATTCGTATGTTGGGTCTTAACGTGTGAATTCCTTTCTTCTAATGTCGCGAACGTCGATATACATCGGCTACATTTGTACTTATTATCGTGTGGCACCTTCGTGTGAGCGATCAAAGCATTCTCAGTTATAAAACCTTCACCACAAGTATCACACACGTAATTATGGAAATGTTCCGACGTGTGCTTTTTAAGGGATATAAAATTAGAGAAGAGCATTTTGCAAATAGCACATTTCCAACTGGAGCCGTCGTTCAGTTTAAAAGGCAACACTCCCGGTTGAACATCAAAGTTCAGCGGCTGCTTGTGGTCATTCTTGAGGTGTGCCATCAATTCATCAAGCGTGTCTATTGACATAAAGCATAGCTTACATTGAAGGTCCGTAATGTCGACTTTAAGAAAGTCCTTTCGCAATTTCCTACTAAACACGAGTTGAATATCAAAGTTGGCATGACGATTCGCCATATGAGTTCTTAATCCGACTGGGTCGTTAGATTGAACTCGGCAGAATACACAGTTAAAATTATGCCCCCAGGTCCGAAAGGGACAAGCTGTCGAACATTGGAGGATTATTTCAGTATTACTGCGATGTTTGAGCGCTTTACCGAAGCGTGGCTTATATGTCGCTTTGTTGCATTTGAAACTTTTTTCATGTTGACGCAACCCCTGTTTGGACAGGAAAGTAGCTCCGCATTTATCGCATGTTAATATTTTAACATGAGTTCGCAGATGGGCGTTAATCTGGGAGAACTCTGTGAAACTTTTGTAACAGTCTAAGCACATCCAGAGTCCTGTGGGACCTTGTTTATAAGGTAGCACGCCGAAGGGTACATCGAAATTAACCGGTATACCATGATCTCTAGATATATGTGTCATAAACGTATCAACATTCGCCATATCTAGTGAGCAAAGTTTACATTTGAATTGGGTTATGTCTATTTTAAGATCGTCTATTACTTTGTAAAACGCACTATTGAAATCTGCATTTGAATGTTCGTTGGTAACGTGCTCGCGAAGTATTATCATATTTTGAAACTCCTCGTGGCAGTAGGAGCAAATGATTCTATTAAAACGAGTCTTAAATGGAAACGCGTTGGAATGCTTCAATATAAGCACGGCGTTTTGTCGCTGTGGGTTCTGGTTCACAGACCTTTCAAACAGTCTTTTTGGTTTATTCTCTTTCTTTAATCCTTCGAGTTCCTTTCTGGGCCCTAAAAAAGAAAAGAACTGTGTCATTATTTTGTTTCGATCTAGCTGGTTTTTTAATTGCACAAGTAAATTTACGTCAATTTACTTGAATACAAGAAAATTAAACTTGAATTTTGGCACAACAGATAAAAAATACGCCAATTTATTAGCAACCGATTTGAACACATTTGTCCATCATTAAAATACAGTAAGATCGAAACAAAAGTGGCTTTACGAAACCTATTCATATCTTAATTCTGAACATCAGCTAATTTAAATGAACCGTACCAAGTTAATATGACAATAAATGAAAATGTAAAATACTTAGAATAATTTTATTAACTTCGAGATAAGTCGTCACTAAATTAATTCCGGATGATGTGATTTCATATGTCCATTCCAGCTCACTTTCTGCGCAAACTGTTTATCACAAATGGAGCATGAGAATCTCTTAGTCTCGCTGTGTATCCACATGTGCTGGGCTAAACTCTTCTTCCTCGTGAACATCTTCTTGCACACCGCACACTCATACGGCTTCTCGCCAGTGTGCACGCGTCTGTGATCCTCCAACTGCTGCTTCGAGCTACATTTCACTCCACAACACGAACATACATTAGCATCCGTGTGATTCATTGCGAAATGATTGTAGAAAACTTTACGATTATCATAAACCTCTCCACAATCAGGGCACGTGTACGTCGACTTAGGTCGGCCATGCGCCGCCGTCATATGCTTATGTTTAGCTTCAGATGACATAAAACGTTCACTGCAACTCGTACAGACAAACCTCCAGCAGGCTTTCGATAATCTCATATGCTCACGTTTCATTTCCATCGTAGGAAACTCCTGCCAGCATTTCCTGCACTGCGGCTTCTCAGAGTGACTAGACCGTATATGGTAAGTGAGTGCTTCGCGGGTTAGATAACTCCTACCACAGTTCTCGCAAGTAAATTTCTGATAGTGAGAGTTCGTGTGCCGGCATAATGTTATCAACGTCGGGAATCGCATATCACACAAATAGCAATTCCACCTGTCCTTATCTATCTTGTAAGGTTGCAAGCCAACTTCATGTTTCGTATCAAGTTTGCTTGTCGGATGACAAAGATCTATATGTGTTACAATTTCAGCTAGTGTATCGAAAGGTTGATTGCAAAGTCTGCATTTTAAATTTGTACAATCGACTTTGAGGTGTCTAAAATTGCCCTTGCCGCAGTGCGCGAATGCTACCGATATGGAGAATGTTTGGTGCATCTCGTCCATGTGTTTCCTATAGATGGCGGGATCTGTATACTCCTCGCAGCAGTAGACGCAAAGTAAATGTTTCCCGTGCAGCCTGAACGGATATACTGTCGAGTACTCTAACACAACTCCGGCGTTCCGTTTCGCCTTCTGTGCGTTGCTCTCCGTAACTGTTTCTAGAAAAAGAAAAAACTGCCGTGACTAGCGGGACCTCGCTCTCTTGATACTTATTCAACGAATACCACTCTAGAGAAGACATTACAGATTACCTCATAGTATTTGTAAAGTCCTTGTTACGAGTAGATTTATTAACTATTCTACATTAGTTTGTAAATACGGAATACTTCGATGTATCATTTACTCTTCTTTTGGAATTTTGAAAATCCTTTTGTCCCACCACCATATAATTTTAACATTAGCTGTAACGTCCCAGTTGCATATTATAAAATTATTGTTTAAAAAATCTCTCGAGTAAAAAAATGCTGGTCAGTTATCTAAGCAACTGGCTAGCAAGAAGTATGCTTAATAACGTAATTTTTTATATGATTACTAGCTTTCGCCTGAGAGATCGTCCGCGTGGAATTAAAAAAATGTAAGTAGCCTCCGTGTTCTTCCAGACTATCCTCTACGTTTATGTTGATATAAATCATATTCTAACATCCATCCATCCATGTAAACTCTTGCATTTATAATATAAGTGTTTGCTTAAGCGTCAATAAAATTATATTTTTTTTAATATATAAAAAATAATTTTAATTGATCCTTTATTAAAAGGTTTTAAATCCAATTCCATCGGTGCAGAATTAAAAAAAATTAGTAAGTTTTTAGACATTTCTTATTTTGGGTTTCATTTAAATTTAAAAATAGGTTTTATAGAGTACTGTTTAATGATTGAAGATTGTGAGACGCCGTATCTCATTGATATACTGCAATAGATTTCCTCAAGGTCAAGTGAAATCTATACTATTATAATAAAGCGTAAACACACACTTCTTTGTTGCCTAAGATGTCAGCAATTACAGCATATTTTTGAATAACTCTTTTTTTAATAAAAAGCCCTATACGTACGTCACGCTTTAGACTATATATATTCACGCCGTTGAACTTAGGGGTGAATATTTTGGATAAAAACCCTAATGTGGGAAAGAGATCATAAGTTGCTGCCAACATCAAGAAAGATTGCTAAGGTGTGTCATGTCATGTCATTTTGACATTTGCAATTAATAATTTGACAAATGTGAACAATAAAAAGAATTTTTTATCATTTCATGCGGATGAAGTCGCATGGGAACAGCTAGTAAATAAATAAAATAAATATACGCGTCATAAAGTAAAACACTTCTTCATTTAAAATTAATATATTTTGAACATAATATTAAAAATTAGATTAAAACACAACAATGTAAATTCATTCTTTTCGGATACCAAAACAATTATTTACATCTGATAATAACTAAAGAATCAACTTTAAAATATTCCCGAAGCCTTCGGTGCTTTGAAATAAAACTTGTCGAAATTAAAAAATCTAGAACCCTATATAGTTTGTCTAAATAAGATAGATTGTTTGATAAATGACGTATATGAAGTATCGAATTCAATTTGTATGAAGGCAAATGTACTTAATAGACAGGTATCGTATTGACGAAACAAACACGCAGCGAACAATTATGAACTATCGATATTGGGTTAAAATATTTATCGAACTCAACTAAAATTATTATTTTATTATTAACTATTTTATTTCGAGGACAATTCTAGTATTGACTAGAGCGTAAAGAATTTAGCGATGACAGAAATGATAGCGAAATTCTATTCAAATACGACGGCTGTAGTAGTAATAAACATTTGTTTATTCTTATTATTTGTAATGGTTCCGAAGTCATTATTAATTTAAGAAAGCAGAGTTTTTTTTTTTACTATGACTCCATCACTTCCAACTTCTACAAGAATAAAAATCTATAAGATTCATGACTGATTTTATACAACCGTCCCTACTAAATTTTAAATGAATTGTCAAACTAATCTTATTTAGACACAATATAAGGGAGTCAGTTTAAAATAATAAAAAATCTAACATTATTAAGTCTAAATGCAAAATCGTTGGAATAATTTGATAAAAATTAATTTCCTATCTACATTTAAATTTAGGGATCCGTTTTTATAACTAACATGTGTTTGACGTTATTATTCTTTGACGTTTCAAAGTTGACTAATTCTGGATGGTACGATTTCATGTGGGTTTTCCAGCTGACTCTTTGATTGAATTGTTTATTGCACAAATCGCAGCCGAACCTCTTCTGTTCGCTATGAATCCACATGTGTTGCACCAAATTCTTCTTTCTCGGAAATGATTTGGTACAAACCGAACAGTGGAAGAGCTTCTCTTTAGTATGTACCACCCTATGCTCTTCCAAATTACGTTTCGTTGCGAATTTCTGTCCACAACACGTGCAGATAAAATTATCATCAGTGTGTGATATTGTAAAATGTTCTCTATATTTTTTTCTATCTAAAAACGTTTCTCCACATTCAAGGCATACGTGTGACCTTTTAGGGGCTCCGTGCACTTGAGCTAAATGGGCCTGTTTCAGTGTCCACGACATGAATCTTTCTCCGCACACGTTGCACAAATGAGACCAACACTTTGGCGTATCAACCAAATGTTGACGCCTCGCATCAAGACTATTGAATGTCTTTTTGCATTTTCTACAAATACACGCACCACCCGTATGCGAATATGTTATATGGTGCTTTAATGTTGTAACAGTACCGTACGATTTGCCACAAGCTTCGCAAGTAAATTTCAAGAAATGTTTTTGTATGTGCCTACTGAGTTGACGTATACACGGCGATTTCAAACGGCAAATAGCGCATAGGAAACGGTCTTTCTCCAGTTTGAAAGGATGGACGCCGATCTCATAATTCGTGTCAACTTTCTCTTGGTGCTCGTCCTTCAAATGCTTCGCTACGTCATCGATTGTATCAAAACTTAACATACAGATTCTACATCGTAGGTCTGTGCAGTCGACCTTGACATAACCTTCATTGCAATGGACGAAAGCCATTCGGACATGGAACGTCTGATGTTCGGTGTCCATATGCTTTCTGTATTCAGTGGGATCGTCGCAACTTTCGCCACAGTACACACACACCATGGCATTTTCCGGGAGCCTGAACGGGTACGCAGTTGCAAATTTCACGACTATCTCGGCGTTTCGTCTCGCGATGGTATACGGATCGAGGTCTAGAACAGAAAGAAATGTCGTTGGTCATTCGGTTGTCCTCGCCAATTGATATTTTTTTATAAACGACTAAACAAATTAACTCCCCGCATTCAGTCAACATCTTATATTGTTGAATCTATTATTTAGATCCTCTTAGTGTACTTTCAGTTGCTACAATTAATAAGACAAAAATAGTTTATCGTATTTATAATTGGAATTGAAAAACAATTAAAATGTAAACCGGTCACTGGAAATAAATCCAATATCTCACAAAACTTAAAGAAAATGTTGCTAAATTTATGATTATGCTAGTTTAATTAACTGAATCCGGATGGTAAGACTTCATATGAGTTTTCCAGCTGACTCTTTGATTGAATTGTTTCTTGCAAGGTACGCATTCAAATCTCTTCTGTTCTCTATGTATCCACATGTGTTGCTGAAGGTTCTTCTTTCTGCCAAACATTTTGTGGCAAACCGTACACGGGTGTGCCTTCTCACCAGTATGTATAACTTGATGTTCTAATAGACTCCTCTTTTTATCAAACTTTAACTCACAGAAG